AAAAGGCCACATGGAGCTGTATATCTACCTCTGTGGGAGCAGAACCATCTTTGACTTCATCTCCTTTCATTTAGACCACAGACTAACTGGTTGCAGCTTTCTAATGGGGTGAAAGGAGGCAATCCCTTAGGCAGGATGAACATCAGACTGGAGCTTCGCAACATCTTGCTTTGTAGATCTTCTCTCATTCTACAGCACTGGAAAAAGGATCTAAATGTCTTAAATTAAGTGTATTTACGCTTAATTTGAGTAGGTAAATGAGATAGTTTGCCAATGGAATGAGTATTTTTGCTCTTAAAATAAGAAAATTAGATAAAATGCACCTGAAACAAGACAATGCAATTGTGTTTTCTTATTGTAAGTGTAAATTGTCTTGTTCCATTGGCAACATGTCTCTTTTACCTATTAAATCCAAGAACAAATACACTTATTTTAAGAAAAAACAACTTATCTAGATTTCGATTTTTTTTCCAGTGAGCGTGCAGTGATCCACGAACATTGTAGGATAAATTAGTTTCAAATTTTACTGCTAGGGTTGAAGCAATTAAACTGATTAATTGGGATTAATCCATAGTTAAAATTACTGTCTAATAACTAATTTAGTAATTAATTAATCGTTGTAATGAATTAGAGTGTAGAGACTCTAACATTAGCTAAAAGAGGAACCCACTGAGAGCATATATAAAATAAATACTTTGCATTTAGGATTTTTGCATTTTTTTGTCCATGTATAGGTTCCACACTGGAAAAACGATCTAGAAATAAGTAAAAATCTCCTAAATTAAGTGAATTTATCCTTATTTTGAGTAGGTTAATGAGAAAGTTTGCCAATGGATTGAGTATTTTTACTCTTAAAATAACAATTATTTGCACTTGAAATAAGACAAAGCAATTGTTTTTTTCTTATTTTAAGTGTAAATTATCTTTTTCCATTGGCAAAATGTCTCTTTTACCTCTTCAATCCAAGAAAAAATCACTTATTTTAAGAAAAAATTACTTTTTTTTAATCTAGATTTTGATTTTTTCCAGTGCATCCAGAACAATATGTTTAGTTTCAGCGCCGTTGATATATGATTGGCCGAATTTAAGTGTTCAGGCTGTAAAACTAACTGGCCTGCAGAAGATAACGAAAAAAAAAAAAAGATTTTAAGACAGGATTTTTTTTTTTTTTTTATAGAAATTTTATAACTTTTTGGACAATATGGTCTGATAAAGATTACATTTATATACATGTTTAAGCCAGAATGATTTGACATTTAAATGGTTTATCTATATACTGAATAGGGCTGGGCGATATAGAAAAAAAGCTTATCGATAAAAAAAAATGCATATTGATTGATATCGATAATTATTGAAAAGATTTGAAACCATATTTTATGTGCAGCTCTGCCTGGACTTTTTATTATATTGCTAAATGATTTAATTTTAATAAAAACACAAACACAGACTTCGAATTAAATCTTTATTTAACCAACTTTTTTAACCATAACAGAATTGTTTTAAAGAAAAATAACTCAAGAGACCTGAGTTATGTTATTAAATACTGACAAAGAATAAACTAAAGTGACCAAAATAAATATAACAAATAAATAAATGCCCCCCCCCCCCCACCGCCGCCCCCGTTTCCTGCTTTAACCTGAGTTATTACTGTGAAGTTTCTGGCCCCTCAGCATTTTTATCTCAATTGTTAGAACTACGTGGGAAACTGCCCAGAACTGAAAATATATATATATATTTTCCCGAAATTCCCGAAGATTCCTCGGAGGAGAGCCGCGGCGGGGCCTACACAGCTCGTACTCCTGCAGGTGTGAACGGCTGAGATGATTAAAAAAAAAAAAAGTTGGTTGTGTTATCAGACTGGTTTTCACTGGTTCCCGAAACATTTTCCAGATGACTGTGGTTTGTTTTTGGTCCGACTTGCCATGACCGAAATACTGCCAGACTAGCGAACTACAAAAACCCTTTGAAACAATTTCCTCCGCCTCTCCTTGCTGCATCTTCGTGTGCTCTGTGTTGTGGTTTGAGAGGGCGGCGCTTGGTGACGGCGTGCCTGAGTCCGCGATTGTAATTGGTTGGGAGGAAGCAGTGACTAGCATAAACCTACATGCTAGGCTACAATGAGAAGGAAGGAAAACTGCGTTTCTTTTTTATCGAACTTTTATCGACCCTCTTTTTTTCTATTGCGCCACACGTCTATCGATCGATATATATCGTTATTGAATTATCGCCCAGCCCTAATACTGAATATGTCAAGATTTGGTTTTAAGGTTTTTGTGAGGACCCAAAAGCAGAAGCTGAGAGGCAGGGGTGAGATGCTTGAAGGTTTAATTAAGGTTGACAGGCAGCCAAACAGTAATCCAAAAATCCAGCTTAAAACTGTGAATCAAAACAGGAATCCAAAAAACCAACATAAGAATTAAACACAAACCATGGAGACATCAGGGAAAACCGTCATGAGGAGCCAGGGTAGGATGAAGTAAGACGAGGAACCAGCACTGAGGGACTGAACAGGGAGTGTATTTATGGCTGACTGAACAAAGGCAGGACTAACGAGCTGATAAGGAGCAGGTGTGAGTTGGGCTGACGAGGAAGCCAAGAGAAAAGAAAACACAAGGGGGCAGCAGAGGACAAGCGATGAAAACCCTAAGAAACTAAAATAAATCCAGAACACATCAATAAAGCTAGAAAAGAAAACATGGATAAACATGAAACTGTAAACTTAGAGAAAACCAACAGAACCAAGATCATTACAGAATAACAAGATTATTAATTGTATGAAAGGAAATATTATGTTATAGATATTCCTAATCATTACGGGTGTTTATTCACATGCATTTGAATTAGTTTAGTAAAAGCTGTAGTTGTTGGTATTTTAACAATTATGACATCTGAAATGTTTTGTACACATAGAACATAAAATGTAGCAGTTAAAATGAACTAGTAGATAAATTAAACGAGTAGTTGTTAACCCATGGAAAATAAGGATTTTAGATAATAAGTCGTTCCAAGGACAAACAATCATCATACTGGGGAATAGTAATAAACACCAACCTGCAGTAAATCCAAGGTTGGAAAAACACAAACTTTCCTGTTTGAGTTGGGATACGCAGCTGCAGGTTAGCAACAGACAGAAAATCCAACAACACAAACATTCCATCGAATAACGCTGCAGAGTCCAGGAAGCCGGTATTCCAGCTTAGAGCCATTCAACTCAACTCAACTTTATTGTCAAATGTGCTACATGGTAAACATACAACACAGATTAAATTTCAGTCCTCTCAACCCCACGGAGCATAATAAAATATAAAAAAAATATATATGTATATAATGAACCATAGCATAAAATAGAAATAAAAACCTAAGATATAAAAATAAATATTTAAACATGCAAACAGTAGTGCGAATGGTGCAAATAGAGTAGCAGTCCTGACGTGGGGGAAGTAGTGGAGGACGGGGGTATTGGGGGGTCATGGGGGGGACGAAGGGGGGCAGGGCAGGGAGGGAATTGAGCATCCTCACTGCCTGGTGGAAGAAGCTGTCTCTGAGCCTACTGGTTCTGGCCCGGAGACTCTGCAGCCTCCTTCCGGACGGCAGCAGGGTGAAGACATTGTGGGCGGGGTGGGTGGGGTCACCTGCGATCCTGGTGGCTCTGCAGGTGAGGCGGGAGTGATAAATGTCCAATAGAGAGGGGAGGGGGACACCGAGGATCTTCCCAGCTGCTTTCATGGTGCGCTGCAGTGTCTTGCGGCAGGCTGCGGTGCAGGCTCCGTACCACACGGTGATGCTGCTGGTCAGGATGCTCTCGATGGTGCCCTTGTAGAAGGAGTGCAAGATGGGGGACGGGGCTCTTGCTCTCCTCAGTTTCAGCAGGAAGTAGAGTCTCTGTTGGGCTTTCTTGGCCATTCCTGTCTGTTGGTGTTTGGTGGTGTTCATGTCACCTGGTGCATGATGGTGCTCTACTGTAGAAACGGTTCTGGACCTTCTCCAAAATGCTCTACTTCTCCTGAAGCACCAGCAGGAGTGATGTCATCAACACCATCACCTTTAATGAGCAAACATGCTTCCATTGATTGACCAGAGAGCATTGGGGTCTCTGGACATCATGCTGTGCTTAACTTTAAACACAGACACACAACATTTGGTGGACATGTTGTTATTTTAAAACGTATTAGCATTTTTTTCTGGATTTGGCTGCGTCCTCCACTGCCTTTCTTTTTTTCTCTCTCTCTCTGCGGCGCCTTCCTCTTCCTTTTACTACGTTTGTAGACCGAGTTCACTGCAAAAATGGTCTAGAAATGAGTAAAAATGTCTTAAATCAAGCATGTTTACCCTTCATTTTAGTAGGTAAATGGGTTGATTTGCCAATGGAATGAGTATTTTCACTCTTAAAATAAGATTATTAGATAATATCCACTCGAAATAAGACAATGCGGTTGCTTTTTCTTATTTTAAATTAAAATTGTCTTGTTCCATTGGCAAAGTATCTCACTTACCTCCTCAATTCAAGAACAAATGCACTTAGTTTAAGAAAAAAATGACTTATTTAGATTTCCATTTTTTGCAGTGCACACTGCAAAAATGATCACAAATAAGTAAAAATTTCTTAAATTAAGTGTATTTACCCTTAATTTGAGTAGGTAAATATGAGGATTTGCCAATGAAATTAGTGTCTTTACTCTTGAAATAAGATAATTAGATAAGTCTCTCACTTTCGTCCTCAATTGGAGAAAAAATGCACTTAGTTTAAGAAAAAATGACTTACTTAGATTTGCATTTTTTGCAGTGCATTGCTCCTTAACCTCACTTTGCTACCTCCACACACCACTGCAGCAGCTGGCACCAGTTTCAGGGTGAAAGTATTTATCAGTTTTTCCCACCTCACATGCTACTGGCCTAAATGGCCTGTCGCCACAAAAAAAAAAAAAAAAAAATGGAGAAGGAGAAGGAGGCCAGGAAACCAATCCCAGGCTGGCGCTTCCAGAATATTCCCAAGTCTCCCTATGGCCAGTCTGGGAATGCCTTTCACAGCGGCGGATTTACCATCAGGTAAAACTAGGCAGGAACTCTGTTTCCATATATAGTTAATACAACTATTCCTTATTTCTGCTCATTAATTATGTTATTGATAAAAATCCTTTGGCTAAAATGCCATCAGAACGCTGATAATATTAAGTGTGTCTCAGCCCCCCCCCCTTCAGTGTCCACCATATTGGATCAGTCCATTTGCTGCACATGTTCAGAAAGGTCCAAACAGACAGCAGCAAACCATTTGAAAACAAACCATGCAAAGAGCAGTGTTGCCAACTTAGCGCTTTAGTCGCTATATTTAGCCACTTTTCAGACCCCTCTAGCACTTTGATTTCTAAAAAGCTCCTAGCGCCAAATCTAGAGACTTTTTTCTGCTACTGGAGACTTTGGAGACAACATCTAAAAGCAGCGAACTCTGCTCTCCAGAGCGAGTAGATTGGTAACCCCGCCTCCTGCTCTCCTCTATCTTGTCTGCTGTCATGATTCATGCAGCTATTATTTCATCCAAATGAAAAATGGAGAACAGATAAGCAGATCATGGCTTGTCTACAGTGAAAAGAAGGACTGGGTTATTTACTTTGGCCTTTTTGGAAACACAGGAAGGAGCAATCAGCTAAGTGAGCTTAGTGCTTGGAAAAAATCTTTCATTCCTTTAGAGACAGCATGAAAAGTCAGCTGAGTACAAAACATAGAGAGGAAAACAAGAAGAAAAGGGACAAGAAGAGAGGGACACAACCTAGAACAGATCATGGATGTCTATTCTATTAACATTTCTCTATCTGGAGAATGGGGCTGTTTATGTGTTCTCTATTCAAAGGGGCCCCCTGCCTGTCTTTGCCCAGGGCCCCACATTTCCTAAATCAGCCCCTGCTACTACCAGGTTTATCTCTTCACATGCAAAGTTGACCTGAACTGCTTCCTATATGTCTTGTTCACAGAGTAATGACATCAGAGCTTCTTAAAATGGAAACATCTAAACTGGAAACATCGTAAACCTCAAAGTAAAAATGCTCAATTCTTCATTTTGTCTCATGTGAACCGCCTGTCAATACTCTGGAATCGCTTGATGGGTTTTCTGCAGAATTTCCTTGGAACTGTCCTTATTCTTCCAAATCTCTGCTCCTCGTTATCCCAGCACACAGTCTGCTCATTTCCCCCATCCAAAAAAACCACACAATAATCACTTTCAAGCGTCTAGTGTTTCTCTGCTGCCAAAAACCTTTTGTTCTGGATCCAAGCTGCAGAAACATCTGGATCCAGCTGCTGCAGCTAAGAGACTCTGACAACAGAAGACATTTGACAGCTTAACAATGTTTTCATGTTTCAGGGATTTCAGTGTTCATCATGTGCTTGTAAAGGTGAGCCCGTACCAACGGATCATTAAACTGTGATTGGTAGTAAGCAATTAGTGCAGTTATCAGCTGTTAAAGAGCAACATTTGGAACAAACAAAACTGGTTTCTGCTCTGCCTGTTCAGCGCTGTGCCAAGGTCCAATAAAAATAGAGAAGCAATTTGACTGGGAGAGCTTTCATGGCAGCCTGGGTTGGAGGGCATGCCTGGCCTACATCCAGGGTTCCTGGGAAATGGAGCAGAGGAGGAGGAGGAGCTGGACGGCCGGACAGCAGTCTCTTCATCTGCCTCCACCTCCTGAACATCTCCAGCAGAAGCAGCCGTGCAGCTCTGTGACTGAGGGACTCCGGGGTTTGGATGCAGATGGTACTGATGCAGCAGCAGAACTGTGAGTGACTCCATATCTTGGCTCTCCTGCGGTGCTTTCCACAGGAAACCTGTTCGCTCTGATTCTGGCTGAACATTAACCGTGACTCACTTTAGGTCTGCAGAGTTTTTCCTTCAAAACCTCCAGAATTTAAATGACAAAATAAATCTGAATAGCTGAAATATCCTGCTATTAAAACTGATTGAATAGAAACAATATATATATATATATTAAATAAACTGCACATTCTGTGTCCTGATGTCAGGAAGTTTTTCAGTTTTCTTCCTGAATTGTTCAGGTTTTGTGTTTTTCCTCTCCTCCTGCTCTATGGTTGGTTTCCAGTTCCCAGTCGTTGTCTCTGGATATCCTCAGATTCCTCTCTGCTGTCTGCAGGTCGCTCTGTTTCCACCTGTTGCTCATCACTGACCTGCATCCAGTGCTGCTCCTGTCAGGACTGATGCTCTTTGGGTTTTTGTGGGATTTCTAAGATCATTTCAGTCGGTGTTTGTTCTGCTTTTCCATCCCTGGTTTGGTTTAAATGGTTCTTAGTACTGCTGTGTTGCAGTAAGAAGGTCCTGGGTTTAAATCTTTCTGCATTTTCTCCTGAAAAGCTCTCAGAAGCTGCTCTCCTCTTTTATTATTTTACATATTTAGATACAAAAAGTGCACTTGTAGGATGAACTCCTGTGGCTGCAGGAGATATCTGCCAGCTTGACCCCAGCCTGCATAGAGAGGCAGCTGTAGACGACGAATGTTTGCTTTAAACATCCAGTTTAAATTATACTTTCAGGCTGAAAGTACTTTCATCTTTTATTTTGAAAATATTTTGCACAGCAGGTTTATACACTGCAAAAAATGGAAATCTAAGTAAGTAATTTTTTCTTAAAGTGCATTTTTTCTCCAAATGAGGACGAAAGTGAGAGACTTTGCCAATGGAACGAGACAATTTACATTTAAAATAAGAAAAAACAATTATATTGTCTTATTTCAAGTTCATATTATCTAATTATCTTATTTTAAGAGTAAAGATACTAATTTCATTGGCAAATCCTCATATTTATCTACTTAAATTAAGGGTAAATACACTTAATTTAAGAAATTTTTTCTTATTTCTAGAACGTTTTTGCAGTGTAACCTTTTACAGTAATTTACAAACATAGTGAGGATTTCACTGAAAGCATTAAAATTCAGCTCTTTCTATGTTGAATTACCTTTAATCGCTTTGGGTTAAAGTCAGAAACCTCAGAGGTAATAAAAACGTTGGTTCTTTAAACCCGAACAAGTTCAGAATACGCAAATATTTTTTTGGAAACTGATTAGCTCACAGTTTTTGATTGAATAACTTAGAATATTTAAATTTGAATTACAACATTTACTTAATTAACAATCAAACATAACTATTTCACTAAAAATAAAAATTGTGCGTGCTCTGTATTTAAAACATATTGTAATTTGTATAATTTATTTTATTTCTTTATAATAATTTGTTAGGATGATATGGTATTCAAAAGATAAACGTTTATAAATTCAAACATTATACAGTAACCAAAAATATCATTTTAGAAAGCTCATAAACTAAACTACTAAATTACTTATATTTTTTAAAGTTCAGAAAACTCAAACTTCTTCACAAAACAAATGCAGAATATTTTAAATGTTTTTATTTGAATGTATTTTTCTCATTACTTCAGTCGTCCAGATCAAATATGGCGTCTTATGAATCAAACTAGCTTAGAAGGGGAACATTTACAAATATAAACACACCTCATTTGGTGATGTGAAACTGCTCACATCTTGGAAAAATCGGTATACAACTATCCATGAATGTATTATAAAAAATAGGTTTTAAGGTTTTGAATGAATCACTGCAAATGTTATTATTATTATTATTTTTAAATAAAAGCCATTGGAAAGCCAACAGCTTAAAACCATCTTCCAGTGAACTTACAGCTCTGTACGGTGGCCCTGAAGTGCAAAGCGCAACTACAAATCTAAAAGTGCAACTCCATTAAGAAAAACACAATTACATTAACCTACCGGAAAAGGTAGGTACCAGTGGGAAACATGAGACATCGCTGATTGGACAACGGCGCCGTTTGACCCGTCGTCCAATCAGCTGATAGGTTAATGTAATTGTGTTTTCCTTAATGTAGTTGCGCTTTTAGATTTGTAGTTGCAGTTTGCACTTCAGGGCCAACGTAGCTATGGCTATTCTACTTTACAAAACATAACTTAAGACCATAAATTACTTTAAATGAATAAATAAGAAATTCAACATATAACCAAAAAGTAAATATTAAGATGTAAATTCATTGCACAGAAAAACAAAAATAAAAAATAAACCTAACTGGATGTGCTCTCTTCATCCTCTGACATGGGAGCTGGCTCGGAGCTCGTCTGCCTGGCTGTGTGTTTCCTGGACGGGGCCGCCTGTGGAGCTGGTTGACAGTTGCCTTTTGTATCTATGCTTCTTTTTCTATGTCTGCTTCTGTCTCCTTGAACCCCAGTGGGCCTCAGCAGATGGCCGCTCACACTGAGCCTGGTTCTGCTGGAGGTTTCTTCCTGTTCAAAGGGAGTTTTTCCTCTCCACTGTCGCTACAAGCATGCTTAGTGTGAGGGATTGCTGAAGAGTCAATGAGTCGATGCAATCAGCTGGTTTTCCTTAGATAGAAAACTTTGAATCAATCTGACTGGATGATCCAGTGTTGCCAACTCAGCGACTTTGTCGCTATATTTAGCGACTTTTCAGAGCCCTGCAGCGACTCTTTTTCAAAAAAGCGACAAATCTAGCGAAATTCCTGGTGTCTGCTGTTGGGCACCTCCCCCATCTGAACCCCGTTCTCCCGCTTCCCTAGCACTCCCTCTGAGCGCTGCAGTCAGAGCCACGGCATGTTTTCCCTCAGCTTCCAGACCGTAAATGAACGGCGTGCATGAGCAGGGATTGACGGCGCAGGTTGATCACGCTGAGTCAGCTCCCTCAGTTGCTGAACCTGCCATAGAGAGCTTTGACCAACTGGACCCACTGTTTCTGTGAGCAGGCGAGCACAGCCTGTGTGTGCAGTGAAATCTTATTAATAAAAAAAAAATTAACAATAATTACCATTATTTGCTCACATTGTCATTGATTCTTTGTGGTATTCTTTTGTTCCATTTAGATTGTAAAGGTAATGTAAAAAATGTTATGGTTCAAAATGTTGATGTTTCACTATGATTTTTAAGCTCCTTTGTGGACCACAAGGGGAAAAGAAAAAGTTTTTAAAAAAGTTAAAAAATATATATATATATTATGCAAATTAGGCAATGAGGTCATTCAGTGACTTCTAGCGAGAGTTGGCAACGTCCTTGGACGGAAAAAGTTAGCTTCTCCAGCATCTAAATGTCCTCACTATGCTAAACCAGTCCTCACACTGGAAAAAATTTAAATCTAGATAAGTCATTTTTTTCTTAAAAAAAAGTGCATTTGTTCTTAAATTGAGGAGATGAAAGAGACATTTTGCCAATGGAACAAGACAATTTAGATTTAAAATATGAAAAACCAGTTGTGTTGTCTTATTTCCAGTGCATATCATCAAATTATCTCATTTTAAGAGTAAAAAAACTCATTCCATTGGCAAACTATCTGATTGATCTACTCAAATCAAGGGTAAATAGACTTAATTTAAGACATTTTTACTTATTTCTAGATCATTTTTCCAGTGTACTATGCTAAACCAGTCCTCACTATGCTAAACCAGTCCTCACTATGCTAAACCAGTCCTCACTATGCTAAGCCAGTTTAGAGCATAAACAGTAGTGTATAGGATTTCCTGAAAGCGCGTTCACGAGTCTACGGAAACCGCGGCAGACCAAACCAGACGAAAGTGCGCATTCAGCGTCTGCTCTGCCGATAATGCAAGCGTAGAAGAAGAAATGTGCTGTTTACCTGTGCAAAGAAAGAAACAACGAAAGAAAAATGTCTGAGGACTTCAGTGTTGAGGAAGAGCATGAGTTCTTTGCCGAGCTGAATGCGCACTTTCATCTGGTTTGGTCTGCCGCGGTTTCCGTAGACTCGTGAACGCGCTTTCAGGAAATCCTATACACTACTGTTTATGCTCTAAAAACATTCTAAATGACTTCGTTTCGAGTAAATTATGGACGCTACCCACTCAGGACACTTGGAATACATTGGACGAGCAGTATGGAGGAATATTGACACGTTTTTTGTGGACTTTTATGGACCTTTCTGCCTCGGGCGCCGTAGACCTCCATTATTTGAATGTCAGCAGACAGCAAGAAGCCTCCCAGATCTCCAGATGCATTTGAGATATCAAAAAAGTACTCCAGAGTGTTGTTCAGCATGGGGGTGAGTAGAAAATGAAGGCTAATCATGTTTTGGGTGTACTATTCCTTTAAGGGCAGAGTGCAGGAAGGTAAAATTAATTAAATCAAGTAATGCAAATAAAAATAAATAAATTAGATAAAATTCAATGCTTCTCAAAATAATTATGAAATGATAAGTTAAACTTACTACGACTGAGTAATAGGGCCTATACTGTTATCACTACGTGTTAGATACACTGTGTACCTTTATTACGGTCTTCGTACAATTTTGAACAATTGTGTTGGAAGCTCAATGAAAGCTTTGAGTGAAACTACAAACAGAAACAGAAAATAAATGTGCATCAGCTCTAAATTCACAGAACAAACTTCCAGCATTATAAAACATAAATTAGAATTAACTCCAGTTGTTGCTAAGAAACAGTCACTCCAGCAGTTACAACTATACAAGAAAAACCTTTGGGATATGGCTAATTCCTGGAATAAACATATGCAAAAAAGGATCTCCAAATAAACTGTCATGTTTTGGGTGTACTATTCCTTTAAGCAGAGGCTTTTAGCTTGTATTGAGGGGTCAGTTAATTCCCGCAGACATGTTGACTCAGCCGAACGTATCTGAGTCACATAAGCTCAGGATCTGTAATGGTTTTGGTTCTGTTTAAGTTTTATCTTTGAGTTTTCATTGCTTTTATTTCCATTTTGTGTTATTCTAGTTGTTTTTGATGGTATTTGTGTTCATAGGTATTTCTTGTTTGCCCTCTGCTGCCCTCTTGTGTCAGTCTCCTTTTCCCTAGCTCCCTTCTAGACCCCTCTGTTCACACCTGCTCCCAATCTGCTGATTAGCCTGGTTGACAGGACCCAGAGGGCGACACTAAAGCTGAAGGTGGTTAAAAAAAAAAAGGGTAACAGAGGCAAGAATCCAAAAACATAAATCCATTAAATCCAAAAGTACTGATTACTAGTGATGGGTCCAGCAACACTGATGCGCCGGTGCGTGTGTCGAGCTCAAACATCAAAATCCAGACCAAAGCGCTTGGAGGAAACCTACGCAGACATGGGGAGAAATGTCCCTGCTGAGACCTGGACTCGAATCCAGGACCTTCTTCCTGTGAGGAAAGAGTTCTAACCACTGCGCCGCCATGCCGCCAATTGCTCAGGATTGATGCCACATTAACTGTAGGGAAACTGCTATTAGATTATCAGGGTCTCATTATACAAATCTGACATTTTTTCAGGGCTGTATTGACGTTTGGTGTCTGTCTAAAAACACTAAACTGATCTATTTGAAACATGAACTCCATGGATGGCTCATACTGCATCCATATGCATCACGTTGATCAAATGCTCATTGAATCGTCTAACCTGTAACATTTCTCTCTGTTTACAGCATGTGGCCAGAAAGATGAAGCAGATATCTTCTTCGTAATAGACGACTCAGACAGCGTCACTGAAAGAGACTTCGCTGACACAAAGGACTTCATGGCTGGCTTCATTAAAACATTTCGCATCAAACTCAATAATATTCGCATTGGGCTGGTCAAATACTCTGACTTAGAGACACTAGAATTCTACCTGACCAAAAAATCATCTGTTTTGGATGTGGACAAGGTTCTGGAGAAGGTTACCCACCAAGGGGGCGGGAGGAGGACGGGTGGAGCCCTGGATTCCATAGACTCTCGTTTCCAGCTGATAACGCCCGGCGTTCCAACCTACCTGATCCTCGTCACTGCAGGACAGTCTGACGATGATTTCAGAGAACCAGCAAGGAAACTCAGGCAGCAAAACGTCACCGTCTTTGCTGTTGGTTTAAAGGATTCACCCCTAGATGAGCTGCAGGAGATTTCTGGGGACTTAGAGCGGACAATTTATATCAGGGATTATTATTTGCTAAAGCAGATCAAAGGCGATATTCTAAGACCAATCTGTGGTTCAGCAGGTGAGGACATCAGCTGCACTGCCAGGAGGTGTAAAGTGTTGTTAAATGTTTAGTTTGTCTTCTTTTTTTGTCACATTCAAATGTTCCAGATTCTAAAACAAATGTTAATCTCAGATGTGATATGATTAATGATTTAAGATCATTCCTTAGCAAAAACAAAGCAACCGGTCCCTAAACTCTTAACTAGGGATGCACGATATCGGGATTTTGGCCAATATCCGATATGCCGATATTTTAAAACTCATGTAGCCGATAACCGATATCGATACCGATGTTAAAGCTGGACAAAAATAAGTAGTCATTGAAAATAGCAGTTTTGTTATCCATTTCTGACACTTTGAAAAATAATATACTCAAATATATTTTCATATGCTGATATCAAATAGATTTTTAAAAACGCGGTATCGATCTATTTTACTTTCAAAATCTGGTGAAATTTCATCGTTCTGTTACAAACTCTCGTGATATTTTGCAAATTCTTGTGAGATTTCGTTAGTAAAATAGATCGATACCGCGTCAATATATCAACATATAAAAATATGGCAACATTTGGTGAATTTTCGGGGGATTTCGTAGCATAACGATGACATATAGCAATATTTCATTAGTAAAAGAGATTGATATGGTGTTTTAAAATGGCAATATATCAGCATATGAAGATATTGGGATATTTTAATGTATCAAAATGTTTTCCCTCATCTTTAGAAGTTTTAAAGTCTGTAAAAAAGAAGTTTTTGAGGAAGAAGAAGAAGTAGTATTTTTTTTTTATTTAAAAACTTAGAAGTTGATCAAATATCGGGTTAAATATCGGTGGGGTGGCCGATGTCCGATATTCAGTTTTAAGGCCGATACCGATAGGGAGCCGATTATATCGTGCATCCCTAGAATTTCATGCTTCAAAATTGGAAATATGGTAAAGAAAAAATTGTGTAAATCAAAACAGTGAAATGTGTCAAATAGTCATAAAATTCAAATAATCCAGTTTGCAACATTTGGTCCAAATTTGGACTTTAACATGCGTAAGATGCAATGCTTAAGACTAGAGAGCTGGAATTTTAAAGAGTTATTGTCCACAACAGGAAGAACAAGTGTAATAAAAAAAAAATCCTTTTTTTTTTATATAAGTGGAAAAAGGTTTTTTTTTTGTCATTATTGAAGTCACATAGCTCTAGTTGTTTAAAACCTAGAGTCTGCACACATATCTCCAGAAACTAGAAGGTGTTAGCTTTCAAAGGAGATACATCAGAAGCATGTAGGATTTATATTAATTTTTACACCTTTGTGCACAAGCTATAAAAAGGTAGGTGGTACTAAACCCATTTTGGCAGAATTAGCTGCCATCAAATGTCTCTAGCGTCCCTCAGGAGGACTTTAAAACTCTGCCTTAAAGAATTAAATTAATTCAGACACATTGGAGGGTTTGGACCATAGCTGTTGCATTGGACTGTTGTCCTGATTTAGAACCCAAGATTATCTTCAGCTGAAGATCATATATTCAGGTTCAGGTTTTATCTAATATAGAAATAGAACCTGTGTTTCCAGCAGTTTTGAGCTATTAAACTAGACCCTGCAGTTTTATTTGGGCCGCCTTTTACAGGATGGTACTAACAGACATTTTTGTTTTTCTGTTTCCAGTTTGTAAGGATTCACCCAGCGACGTAATATTTTTGACCGAAAGCTCTGACAGAATCTCTGCGGAGGACTTTAGGAAGATGAAAGAGTTCATGAAATCTGTCATCAACAAGTCTATTGTCGGCCCAGACGGCGTTCATGTGGGGGTCATGCAGTTCAGCGATGACGCTGAATTAGTGTTTTCTCTGAAGGGTCAGAAAGACGAAATCCTGAGATCCATAAATGGGATGAACCAGTTATATGGAGGCGTTCAAACCGGACGAGCCCTCAGTGAGGTTTCAAGGTACTTCGATGAATCTGAAGGAGGACGACCCAAACTGAGGCAGAACCTGGTGCTGATAACATTCAGTGAAGCAGTTGATGAAATCAGAGGTCCTGCAAAGGCTCTGAGGGAAAAAGGAGTGGTTATCTTTTCAATTGATGCCCAGGACGGTAGCTACAGCCAGCTGACTGAGATCAGCGGACCTCCAGACAGAGTGGTTAATGAAGTAAAGGTTGATCTAATACAAGAACTGGACAGCATGCTGGCCTTGAAGTTCTGCGATCCACAAAGAGGTAAGACTGAACCATGAGCATCTGGTAAGGAACAATGAATTAATTAACATTTTCCAGGATCTTGAATGAGTTTCTTTTTCCTTTCATCAGAGAGTTTTATGAAACTCTGTCACAGTTAACAGGTACATCTGAAACAAATATCAAAAATATCCCTTTAACCTTTATTTCAGAATGTGAAACTACTTTATAATATAGATTGTGAAATAAAGATAATGAAGAGTTAGATCCTGTGAGGACCGGGCTCTCCATGCGAGGAACACCATACCTGATCTGCATGGAGGAATGGGCCAAAATACCAGCAACAGTGTGTGAAAACCTTGTGAAGACTTACAAAAAACGTTTGATCTCTGTCATTATATAACAGTATAATAGTCAATATATAACAATCAGTATATAACAAAGTATTGAGATGAACTTTTGTTATTGACCAAATACTTATTTTCCACCATATTTTGCAAATAAATTATTTAAAAATCAGACAATGTGATTTTCTGGATTTTTTTTTCTCATTGTCTCTCATAGTTGAGGTTTATCTATGATGAAAATTACCGGCCTCTCTCATCTTTTTAAGAGGAAGAACTTGCACTATTGGTGGCTGACTAAATACTTTGTAGTATGTAGGCATGAAGAATCACCCCAAGATTCAATACACTTGAGACATGAACTTAAGAAAACTTAGTGTGCAAAAACATCCCAATTGGTTTCTTTTATATAACTCCCAGCGTCCTCTGAAGGCTCCCTGCAGAGAAAACTCAATCAGATCATCATGTCAGGTATTTTTTTTTTTTTTCAAATGAAAAATAGGAAAAAATCCCTATTTTCGATATTTATGTTGTTGTTTTTTTAAACCCTGAACTATAAGTTTTTATTATCTGCAGGTCGTACTGATCGCAGTTTTAAGAAATGAAGGCCTGCTATATATCTTCTGTATTCTATGAGTTTCACTTTCTGAAATGAAGAATAAAATATGTATTCAGCTTTTTTTGCAATGTTTCAGGCTTTGTGAGATGCACTCATACACTCCTAAACAAGAACTTAAGAGAGGAAGAAATGAAACCTGTTGTGGTGCCGGTGTTCTGTCAGATGAGCATACGGGAAAAAAAACCTTTAAACTACCTCGACGGACGTGTATCCCTATTGAATTAATCTATAGAATTACTTACTTATTGGTGTTTTTTAAAGCGTATGATGATCTAACCTTACATTGTTTTCTTTTGCACATCACTAAAGGGAAATACGCCCATTGAGGTAGTTTAAATTTTGTTTTGTTTTTGTACAAAACTAAAGGGATAAATGCATCTTGCATACAGTATGCGCATTGACTAAAGGAACGATGATCTGACAGAACATCGGATCATAAACTGGTAAAACAAGGGCTTGAAAATGCAGCAGAAAAAAAGCTGAGCAAGAGACAAAACAGAGAAGTGGGGAATAATTTCACATAACTTTGACTCTTTCACGTCATTCCCGTTCAGGCGTCCATCATGACTCCCTGATAGAGAACAAGCTTTCAGGCTTTGAGCCGATTCAGCTGCAAGAATCCTGAACTCTGACACAAATGGAGGACGTACTGATTCACTGCAGCCCAGTAACCCACTAATGGCTGCTGTGGGATAAATGCATGAAAATAAAACCAGGGCCATATTGTGCAACTTTAGTAAATTTATTATGCAACCCGGTGGGAGTATTAAATGTGCAGTTTAATCAGATATTATTCAGACTTTCATATATTGTTTATGAACACACGACCCACTGGCTGTGTGATAGAAAAACAAATGAAAGACTGAACTGAGTTCAAATCCTGGTCAAACAGATAATTCTGCACATATTTGGAATAAATTATCCACAACTGAAAATCACAGGTGAGAATTAAAGAAGTAGAAATACTTTGTTACTTTACTTGTTTCATTCTCCACTCAGGAAACTTTGTCCAGTCAAAATGTTTATGGATGGGAAGCAAAATGTCTTTAACTCGGAAAACAAAGTCCAGTGTTTTTTTTTTCTTTTTTTTTTTTTTATGACTTTGACCTGGATGACTGAGAACCTTCACCAGCATATTAAAAAGTACATAAAATAAAATTAGACAAAATATTACATAAGTAAAGATACTCAAAAAAACTACAGTAATCAAGTAAATATACTTACCGCACTTCCAATTCACAATGCAAATCCATTAGACAAATAAAACATTATTTGGCCAAATGTCCATCCATTCGTCCATCCGTCCGTCCATCTTCCTCCGCTTATCCGGGGTCGGGTCGTGGGGGCAGCAGCTTAAGAAGGGAGGCCCAGACTTCCCTCTCCCCAGCCACTTCTTCTAGCCCCTCAGGAGGAATCCCAAGGCGTTCCCGGGCCAGCCGAGAAACATAGTCCCTCCAGCGTGTCCTGGGTCTCCCCCGGGGCCTCTCCCCGGTGGGACGTGCCCGGAACACCTCACCAGGGAGGCGTCCAGGAGGCATCCTAACCAGATGCCCGAGCCACCTCAGCTGGCTCCTCTCGATGTGGAGGAGAAGCGGCTCTACTCCGAGTCCCTCCCGGATGACCGAGCTTCTCACCCTATCTCTAAGGGGGAGCCCAGCCACCCTACGGAGGAAACCCATTTCGGCCGCTTGTATCCGCGATCTCGTTCTTTCGGTCATGACCCAGAGTTCATGACCATAGATGCGGGTAGGAACGTAGATCGACCGGTAAATCAAGAGCTTCGGACCGGTACAGCGCCCGCTTCACGGCAGACGCCGCACCAATCCGCCTGTCGATCTCCCGCTCCCAATTTGGCCAAATAATACTTTATTAAATTATTTGCTTTATCAGGAACAAATAACCTTCAGTAAATGATTCTTTACCCGCTTTGAAATAGCTAGCCGCAAATAGACATCAGAATTCCATTAAATGACTTTTGGTCATAATTTGGTAATCGGAAATGTAACGAGCATATGAGAAAACACATGAACGCTAATGTTATATCAGTGTTTAAACCCAGAGTGAAAAACAGCCTGTTATAGCTTTATACCAAGATTTCAAAATACATGGTAGCAGCCTTGGACTGGTAATCTGTGATACGCAGATAGACTTTGGTTCAAATTGGGCGAGATTTCGCATCTTTTTGGCTGGAAAACGTGAGTCAGTGACATCTGACTGACTGCGACTGAAACCTTGAAAGCTCGCGAGATCAGGATGGTCTCACGAGGCTAAAAATGTGGGATTCAGAAAAAGATGTTGAAATGTCTGAAAGGTCGGACACAGGCGAGAGCGTATCGGGAGATGGAGACCAACAAGACCTCCCTCATCCTTGGCCCTATCTCAGAGAACTTTTAGAAATAGTCTTAAAAATTGAGCTTTCAGTTCATATAGTGGCATCTAAAGGTTACTTTATACTTTTATACTTTAAAGGAATAGTACACCCAAAACATGATTAGCCTTCATTTTCTACTCACCCCCATGCTGAACAACACTCTGGAGTACTTTTTTTAATATCTCAAATGCATCTGGAGATCTGGGAGGCTTCTTGCTGTCTGCTGACATTCAAATAATGGAGGTCTATGGCGCCCGAGGCAGAAAGGTCCATAAAAGTCCACAAAAACGTGTCAATATTCCTCCATACTGCTCGTCCAATGTATTCCAAGTGTCCTGAGTGGGTAGCATCCATAATTTACTGGAAACAAAGTCATTTAGAATGTTTTTAGAGCATAAACAGTAGCGTATAGGATTTCCTAAAAGCGCGCGCCTGCGAGTTCATGAGCCTACGGAAACCGCGGCAGACCAAACCAGATGAAAGTGCGCATTCAGCGTCTGCTCTTGATAATGCAAGCGTAGAAGAAGGAATTTGCTGTTTACCTGTGCAAAGAAAGAAACAACGAAATAAAAATGTCTGAGGACTTCAGTGTTGAGGAAGAGCATGAGTTCTTTGCCGAGCTGAATGCGCACTTTCATCTGGTTTGGTCTGCCGCGGTTTCCGTAGGCTCGTGAACGCGCTTTTAGGAAATCCTATACACTACTGTTTATGCTCTAAAAACATTCTAAATGACTTTGTTTCGAGTAAATTATGGACGCTACCCACTCAGGACACTTGGAATACATTGGACGAGCAGTATGGAGGAATATTGACACGTTTTTTGTGGACTTTTATGGACCTTTCTGTCTCGGGCGCCATAGACCTCCATTATTTGAATGTCAGCAGACAGCAAGAAGCCTCCCAGATCTCCAGATGCATTTGAGATATCAAACGAAAATGAAGGCTAATCATGTTTTGGGTGTACTATTCCTTTAATTTGTTTTTAGAGCACATAGTTTTTACACTTTTACTTTGGTAAAGAGGTCAAGTGATACTTCAATTTTTAAACTGCAGTATCTTTACTTCTACTTAAGTAACAAATGTGTGAACTTTTTACACCACTGGCAAAGCAGTTCCTGAGCAACACATTGTAACCCCACATTGGTCTCTGGGCGCCGCACAATGGCAGCCCACTGCTCCCCAAGGGCATGGGTTAAGTGCAGAGAGTTCATTTCATTGTTCTGTACTTGTGACATTGGAATGACAATAAAAGCTGGGAAAAAATGTTCATGAAACTGGTGATATGTTCCACTTCTGCCTTCAGTGAAATAATGGAGTTACTGGTATCCATGTGATTAAGACCATCCTACCTTCCCCACTGATCTGAATCCTTTAGAAAATGTTTGAGGATGGGTGGTCGGTGAGCTTTAATGAGCGTTGCAGCTGTCCATGAAGCCACCAACCTTTCCATATTCCGACTGGATGACGTCATTTTTTGGCCATTTTGTTAAAATCACAGACCAGGAGATGAACAACCTGTCTAACTTGTAGACATTCATCTTCCTCTGTTTTGCTTCCTGCTCCAGTTTCTTCTTTTTACATTTTCAATCTAAGATTCTGCCTCATTATAAATTATAAATAAAGCAAGTTGATCATGATCAGGAGTGTATCTCTGAAAACCACTTTAAATTAAAGCTAAATTAATGCACCGTGACAACCGTCTGTTGTTAACCCATCTGATCACAGCAGTCATGGTGCAGACATAGGCAATGTGGAGTCAACAAGTCATCTCCATGTCATGTATTTAATCTACCCAGCCAATTAACCAGGTGAGTTCAATCTGCACAGGTTAATTCACGGTGAAGATTGGACTCACCTGCTTCAGTGGCTGGGTAGAACAAATACATGACATGGAGATGACTTGTTGACTCCACATTGCCCATGTCTGTCATGGTGTTTTTTAGTGTCACACAAGCTGATATTTTGTTTTCGCTTTTTCTTCTCACAGATTGTAAGAAGGTAGGAAGAGCTGACATTATCTTCCTGGTGGATGGCTCAAGAAGCATAGGTGACAGATTCATAAGCATGCAAATATTTATGGACTCTATAGTGAACCAGACCATAGTCAGTGAGGACTCTACACGTTTTGGAGCCATTCTTTACTCCGAAACACCTGAAGTACAGTTTCCTCTAAACAAGTATTACTCAAGTGCAGAAGTTCGTCAAGCTATTACTAGAATGAAGCCACCTGATGATACAACCTACACTGGCAGAGCTCTGGAATACTCGTTGCAGTACTTTGAGGAGAAAAATGGCGGCCGGAGAAACCTCAACGTTCGTCAGATTCTCATGGTGATCACCGATGGGGAAGCCCATGACACAGACATGCTAAAAATGCATTCCGATGCATTGCGAGCAAAAGGTATCACTGTCATCAGTATTGGAGTAGAGGACGCAAAGGAGGACGAGCTGCTGACCATGGCTGGAAACGATGAATCCCTTGTCTTCTTTGTGAAGGACTTTAAGATGCTTGAAACTCTGTACAGAAACATGTCTCAAATCATCTGCAACAAAACCAAAAAAGGTAAGAATGCATGAATAGAGGCAGCACAAACAGCACACACACAGTGTCACCCTACAGGGATAGTCACCCACATTTACTGTCCACACATATAAGTTCCACTGATGTACTGCTCACACATCTGGTAAAAGCTTAAAGTCGTAGGGAAATCGTATTTAAATGTCAAACCATTCTGGCTTAAACATGTAAATAAATGTTCTCTTTATCAGACCATATTGTGCCAAAAATTTGAAAAAAAAAAAAAAAAATCCTGTCTTAAAATCTGTGTTTTTTTTTCCATTACCTTCTGCAGGCCAGTTAGTTCTACGTCAGCCTGAACAACTAAATTTGGCCAATCATATATCAACGGTCATCTGTCAATCAAACTTTTTCGGTCATAGCATCTTGATTCATGTGTCGCAGCTAATATACGCAACGGTTGAAATCAGAATCCTTTCCTTTCCCATTGAGTTGCGTCCCAGCGTTCACGGGGATGGACGTCTGTGTCTTCGGCAGGCATAGAGCTAACAGAACTGGCAGCGTTGCGAGGCAAGGGCTCAAACATGTACGGCTGGAAGCCTTCTACACTAAACCAAGCTTCTGCCGCCCTGGCGTCCTCTTCCACAACATCTTCGTCCCCGCTTTCCTCCTCTAAATAAAAAATGGATGACGGAGGAGACTCATCCACGACCTCCGACACTAAACTCTCCTCCTCTTGCATGTTTCCGCTGTCCATAGCGTTCCTTGACAGCTTCGTTTCTAAGTCACCAATTTAGTGCTACTTGGTCCCAATGGAATTTCCCATTGGGAACCTGCTAGCACTAAGTTGCTAACTGGTTAGCAAGAGGCTTCCAACAAACCCCCCACGATCAAACTTGCTTGCAAACCTTCCGCCACATCAACCCTGCCCCCTTGATAATCGACCAATCACATTCACTTTATTCACTCGTGTAAAGTCGTGCACCACTCAGGAGAATTCGGAAATGCGACGTTTGGAACAGCTGCTTCCCTACGACTTTGTTGTGAACAAAACAGGCTCAGATGAAAAGAATTTATTAAATCCACAGTGTATACATATCTATATATAAATATATATATTTATTTATTTTTCTTTGACAGCGTGTGATGAGATGGACTTGGTCTTTCTGTTGGATCGCTCCGGCAGCATCAACACAGCAGAGCACAAGATCGTGAAAGACTTTACAGCAGATTTAGTGGAAGACTTTCAGATTGGTGAGAAGACTGTGCATGTTGGACTTGCGCAATTCAGTGCAGACTTTCAAGATGAGTTTTACCTCAATGAGTACTATAACAAACAGGAATTAGCTAATCGCGTACGCCAGGTGAGATATTTGGGAGGCAGCACCTACCTCGGTAAGGCCCTGAACTCTGTAAAGGACTATTTTAGCCCCTCACGAGGCAGCCGCGACACAGTGCCCAAGACCCTGGTGGTGTTCTCAGATGGTAATTCCCATGATGACGTGGAGGATGTAAGCAATGAGATCAGGAATAGGAAAATTACTGATGATGTAATAGCCATAGCAATTGGAGATATCTATGACACCGAGCTTCTGCAGATTACTGGGGACCCAAAGAAGGTTATTAGAATTGGTGATATAGAGAACCTACCAAGTTTCAAGAAGAAGGTTTCGGAGGCTATCTGCAATGATGAATCTCCTCCTCCTCCTCCTCCTACTCCTACTACTCCTCCTGCTCCTACTCCTGGTAAGATGAGAAATATGTTTCTGTTTCATCAGATTAATGTATTTTACCTGCTGGAAATTAAGTTGCCTCCTATTCCTTTTTTAGTTGAAAACTGCACCATCGATGTCGCCATTGGATTTGATATTTCTCAAGCCCCTAATGTGCCCCTGCTCAGAATTGTTAGTCCCCTCCAGGAAATCGTCCGTTCCATTTCCATCGTCAATGACCTCAGTAACCTGCCTCCAATCGAGACCAAGATCTCCTTCAGCATCATGAGTCCCGATGGCAGCTACTTGTACGACACAAACTTTGAGGCCTTCAACCCAGAAGTTCTGATGAAAATCTCGACCTTTTCTTGGTCCCAGGCCACATATATCAACTCGGCCTTGCTGAGTGGATTCAACGCCAAGTTCCGGTCTAAGTCTAGAGCATCTGTCAAGGTGAGGCCGTGGTTTCTATCAAAAAGGCTCTGAGGGTTTTGTCTCCTAGTTTCTAATGTAATATTTTAGCTGCATTATATCTAGAGGGAATTATTGCACTTGTGTGTTAGAAATAATCTAAATCACGTGAAATGTTAGGAAAGTTACAGCCAGGGGGGGATTTACCATTAGGCAATACTAGGCAGTTGCCAAGTGCCCCAAGTTCCTGAGGGCCCCATAAAACTCATTTACATTTATGGTTAATAAAACTATTCCTTATTTGTGCACATTAATTATGTTTTGATAAAAAAGCGTTTCACTAAAATAACATCAGAATGCTTATGATGTTAAAGCTACAGTGTGTAATAATTACAGGGATATAAAGTCAGAAATTTAATATATTATACATAACTATGTTATTTATCATCACCTATGAGCTCAGCCTTTTAACCATAATATTTGCGTTGCCTTAGAATTCGTTATTTATAATTACATAGGAGCGGGTCTCGCAGCCATGGGGGCAGACATCTTTGCGCTACGGCAAGCGCAGAGGCAACAAACTAGCGATTGCGAGATCTCCCATTACGCTCGAAAATAACTACGGCAAGTTGAGAGAGATGAACTGAGACGGTACTGAACAGTAGATGGCAGTATTATGCCTGAGAAGCGTTTAGTCTGCCTGAAACCAAAGAAGAAGAAGAAGCAGGTATACTGCGCCTCAGTAACAAGAAAGGTGAACAAGGCGGCAGGCGTGAGTGACTTTGCAAACTGTTTGGCACTGTGTGGCCAAACATCAGACGAATGGAGGATCATGCCTACTCTGTATCACAACGAAAAGCGGCGGACACCGAACCCCCGTCATCTAAGAAGCGGAAACACAACGAGAATAAACGCAAGCGTGACAAGAAACGACAAAAAACACAGATCAACATTGGCACGGCATTTACACGATGGAAGTCACTGATGGAGGAAAAAGGTTTTCAAAGTGACGCTCAAGTTGCCAGTTTTCTCTTGGACAGGTAATTAATCCTACACACACAATTGTCTAATATCACTGCAGTTTTTGGAGTACAGGATGCTCAGACCTGTCTAAAACAATAACATGCTGCGTGATGATGCTGTTACTCTCCAGTATACTTATTCAGCAACGTCCCTGACGTTTCACAGGTAATGATTCAGTAATTTTCTGTAAAATAATTTTCTGGATATATACCTCGGTTACTTCTCTCCGGCTCCTTTGGAGATCTTCAAGCCTTTCTTCCTCTGCTCTCACCCCGCTGGCACCGCTGCACGCCCACCCCACCCTCTCTGCCCTCGCCCTCTTCCTCGCCTTGTAACCCCCGTGCAACAAACATGACTTGGACTCTGTAAACGGGGAATATATATTCTTCCAGCGAACACAATCTCGCTGTTAAACTAATGACTACAATTACTTCATCTGTTTATATCACCATGCAAAGCAGCTCACCAAAACGTCACAACGATGTAGAAAAAATAACGGGTATATTTATTATCTAAAGTATACATGAAATCTATACCCTACACAGACTAATGAAATACTATCTGTAAAATTATCTATGTAAACAAACCTCATCACTTGAGAAGGTAGGTGATTCCGACGTCGTGGAAGACATTTTGTCCCGTAACGCTCGCCGTACTGTTGGGGGAGAGAAGCGGTGGGGGGAGACGTTCATGTTGCTGCAGTCTGCAGTCTGGACGTTAGATGTCGCTGAAAATTACACACTGTAGCTTTAAGTGTGTCTCCCCCCTTCAGTGTCCACCATATTGGATCAGTCCATTTGCTGCACATGTTCAGAAAGGTCCAAACAGACAGCAGCAAACCATTTGAAAACAAACCATGCAAAGAGCAGTGTTGCCAACTTAGCGCTTTAGTCGCTATATTTAGCCACTTTTCAGACCCCTCTAGCACTTTGATTTCTAAAAAGCTCCTAGCGCCAAATCTAGAGACTTTTTTCTGCTACTGGAGACTTTGGAGACAACATCTAAAAGCAGCGAACTCTGCTCTCCAGGTCATTTTATACAGTAGTAAAGTTTTTGTTTCCAGACAGGATTCCTGTAGGTATGTAAAGCGTCTGTTTCCTTGCATTTTGCTTTAAAGATCACATCTCTGCATTAAAGCAGGGAGCCAGTTTTTATTTTTAAAGTTCAAAGTGGGTACTGTAATAAGCTCAGAACACAGGACCCAGAATTCAAGGCGAGACAGACAGTGGGATAATTCAGTTTATTTCAATCAAACAAGCAGATCTGTGGCTGGGGCGTCTATAACTGGAAGCTCTGGTAGAGGGAAACAGATTAGTGAGTCCGATAATCAGACAGAGGATGATTATGTATGCACAAGCCACTAACCTGTTTAACAGTACAGTCCAGAGTCCAAAAAACGGGGATGGTTCCGGCCGGTCGACTGAACAGAAGCAGCTGCCAGAGAGTTCCAGACATGGAAGGCTGCAAAGCTGACAGGAGACCAAAGACACACAGGCAAAATAAAGGCTGAAGGATAATCTGGCACTGTTGCCTGGGAAACAGGAAGTTTAAATAGGAACCGGTACAGGTGCATCAGTTGAGGAACAGGCCAGATCTAGACAGGTAACGGAAATAAGCAATCAAGCCAACCATCAGCTGCAAATCATGACAGGTTCATTGTCTAAGGAAATAGTCATTTCTGCATTTTTAAAGCCATATGTCAGCGAAAGATCCAAAGTATGAAGATGAGAAAATGTGATACTATTCGCATTTTGAACAAAGCTAATCAGGTTTTAAGGTAGCATTGAATGCTGCATTTAAGGTTTCATCTTCAAATGTTAGCTTCGGTAGATGGTATAAAGCCTGGTGATGCTTCTCATCAACACGTTAAACTATCTGATCAACTTTACCCACCAGGTGCTGATCATCTTTTCTGATGGACTGGATGAAGATGTGATGAGAATGAAGCAGGAATCTAAGCGGCTACAAAACTCTGGTAACATTGATCCATATTTCCAGCTTAATATGTACATTCTGTTTACCATCGGATTTCTCTCTTATATCTTTTGTCACCTTAGTTCTAGTTTAGCTGTTAGGATTTTCCTTCCAACGGTTGGTGCAGAAGAAGAACACGCTCATACACATCCAACATTGACCCTAAGCCTAAACTTCGTTTTCCCTCCCTAAAAATAGTAGGCGAACTAAACTATAACGTGTTAAAAGTTAATAACGTATTTCCTGAGAAAATAAATGCCTTAAAATCCTTTCTATTTTATTACTCCTCTGTGTCCGATCTGTACCGGAACTGGGATCCTACTTCCAGGAGCTAACTTTTTGGGCTTCTGATTTAAACATAAATCTAGTCTTTTGCGTGCTAGCATTATGGTATACAATGTGTAATTGTAACGTGTAGTAAGCCCATGAAGGACAAGCACTAAAAGCAACGTTTAGGTGCATTGATTTTCTCCTGCAGATGACATATATATATATATATATATATATATATATATATATATATATATATATATATATATATATATATATATATATATAAAAAATAGAAACTGTCTTCAAGTATGCTGTCCTGCACATACGCTAATATTGGCCCAATTGAGACAAAACAGCTCGGTAAAATTTCAGTTTTTACCAGTGAACAACACCAAACGAAGAATTCACCATAAATTACGGAATTTTACAAAAAAATAAATACATTTTGATGGTGCATCTTTTCACACAACTCACCCTCAGCAACATTAAAACCATTGTGAGGTCTACGGGGAAGTGACTACGGAAGCCCAGGAGCAACATTAAGGGCAGAGTGCAGGAAGGTAAAATTAATTAAATCAAGTAATGCAAATAAAAATAAATAAATTAGATAAAATTCAAAGCTTCTCAAAATAAAAATGAAATGATAAATTAAACTTACTATGACTGAGTAATAGGGCCAGTCGTAAAATAAAGTAATATAGTAACATTATGAGAATAAAGTTGTAACATTACAAGAATAAAGTTATTCTATTCTATTTATTTTATGCCAACTCTTCCAAGAAGCCCTTTCTTCCCTAAAATGAGGAATGTGGAGCATCATGTGAAGTTATACTTTAGCATCGGTTTAAAAAATCAGGAAATCTTTTAGCAGCAGCATCAAACTGGGCAGGAGGTCAAAGTGGACTCTGGTTGCTGATTGGTGGAGCTGGTCGGACGTCATCTGCTGGGTGGAGCTCCAAGCTTTCTTTCTGAAACAGGTTGTTGTATGATGACTTCATTCTCGTAATTTTATGACTTTATTCTCAAAATAGAAGAAAAAACAATCCCTAGACTGGCCCTAATAATCCGTCGTAACTTACAAATACAAATTTGGAAAAGCAAAATAAGCAAAAAACAACTAAAATGCAGATAAAAATGGTTTAATCATGTTTTGACAATGTCAGAGAAAATGTAAAAAATCATAAAAATTGTTTCAGAAAAAGTCATAAAACATATTCTAAAAATGTGTGTTAGCGTTGTTTTGTGAGTTAAGGGTGGTCTGTAGGGGAAATACCGTACTTGCAATTGCAGGAGCCCTCGGCCCGCACCCACAGGCTGAGAAGTCTCGTGCATCGTGAGAGTCAATCTTGCTTTACGGCGAGAACTACAATCTTTGTTATTTAGACACATGCATAACAAATAATGTATGAAAACATGCTAAATTTTCAAACTCGAAAATTGGAACAAAATAGTCGTTCGCCTGTCTGCTAAGCTCAAAACAACCGCGCCTGGCTTGACGGAGAAACCAGGAGAACAGCTGAGCATATTTACAACAGTGCACTTTTACTTTCGCCCTCTGGGGGGAGCCTCGCTGGAAAATCAACACCAGGTGCATAGTGTACCTTTAAGCCAAAGGAATAAAGATTTTTACCCTTAAAATTAGTGTTGCACCGATTTTTTGGCCCCAATATCGATTCCGATACCTGGCTGTGAAGTATCAGCCAGACGCCATCTGTATGAAATTGATGTGTGTGTATATATGAAGAACTGCAGACTACAGGTGCTGGTCATAAAATTAGAATATCATGAAAAAGTAGATTGATTTCAGTAATTCCATTTAAAAAGTGAAACTTGTATATTATATTCATACATTACATACAAACTCATATATTTCAGATGTTTATTTTGTTTAATTTTGATGATTACAAATGACAACAAATGAAAATCTCAAATTCATCATATCAGAAAATTAGAATATTGTGAAAAGGTTCAAAATTGATGGCCCCTGGTGCCACACTCTAATCAGCTAATTAACTCAAACCACCTGCAAAAGCCTTTAAATGGTCTTTCAGTCTAGTTCTATAGGCTACACAATCATGGGGAAGACTGCTGACTTGACAGTTGTCCAAAAGACGACCATCGACACCTTGCACAAGGAGGGCAAGACACAAAAGGTCATCGCTAAAGAGGCTGCCTGTTCACAGAGCTCAGTGTCCAAGCACATTAATAGAGAGGCGAAGGGAAGGAAAAGATGTGGTCGAAAAAAGTGTACAAGCAAGAGAGATAACCGCACCCTGGAGAGGATTGTGAAACAAAACCCCTTCAAAAATGTGGGGGAGATTCACAAAGAGTGGACTGCAGCTGGAGTGAGTGCTTCAAGAACCACCACACACAGACGTATGAAAGACATGGGTTTCTGCTGTCGCATTCCTTGTGTCAAGCCACTCTTGAACCACAGACAGCGTCAGAAGCGTCTTGCCTGAGCTAAAGAGAAACAGGACTGGACTGCTGGTGAGTGGTCCAAAGTCATGTTCTCTGATGAAAGTAAATTTTGCATTTCCTTTGGAAATCAAGGTCCCAGAGTCTGGAGGAAAAGAAGAGAGGCACTTCATCCACGTTGCTTGAAGTCCAGTGTAAAGTTTCCACAGTCAGTGATGGTTTGGGGTGCCATGTCATCTGCTGGTGTTGGTCCATTGTGTTTTCTGAGATCCAGGGTCAACGCAGCCACATACCAGGAAGTTTTAGAGCACTTCATGCTTCCTGCAGCTGACCAACTTTTTGGAGATGCAGATTTCATTTTCCAACAGGACTTGGCACCTGCACACAGTGCCAAAGCTACCAGTACCTGGTTGAAGGACCATGGTATCCCTGTTCTTAATTGGCCAGCAAACTCTCCTGACCTTAATCCCCATAGAAAATCTATGGGGTATTGTGAAGAAGAAGATGCAATACACCAGACCCAACAATTCAGAAGAGCTAAAAGCCACTATTAGAGCAACCTGGGCTATCATAACACCTGAGCAGTGCCACAGACTGATCGACTCCATGCCACGCCGCATTGCTGCAGTAATACAGGCCAAAGGAGGCCCAACTAAATACTGAGTGCTGTACATGCTCATACTTTTCATGTTCATACTTTTCAGTTGGCCAACATTTCTATAAATCCTTTGTTTTTATTGGTCTTCAGTAATATTCTAATTTTCTGATATGATGAATTTGAGATTTTCATTTGTTGTCATTTGTAATCATCAAAATTAAACAAAATAAACATCTGAAATATATGAGTTTGTATGTAATGTATGAATATAATATACAAGTTTCACTTTTTAAATGGAATTACTGAAATCAATCTACTTTTTCATATTCTAATTTTATGACCAGCACCTGTACTTGGATGTAAAATAATTGCCATCATGGCTTCATGTCAAGCTGCTACCTTCCTTTGTGAAGCAGGAAACAGACTAAAACAAAGTGAATCCAGTAGAACTTTTTATTGCCTACCTGGAATGGGTGACAATAGATGAAGAAACTTTTGGCTCTCAAAATGGTATCAGTGCCCTATTTGTTTAGCCTGGGTGCCATTCCGAACTTAGTCCCGCCCACAACCTTTCAGGTCGGGAAGTTCGGTCTGGCATTGCTCAACAGTAGCGCGAGTATGCTAGCACAATATCTGGCGGGCCAATCAAATTGTCAGGGCGGGCTTTATACGATGATGGACAGATGATCAACAGTAAGGTAATCAACCACGTGACCAAAGTGCGCTTGGGTGACAACAACAATGGCTGCCGCTGGAGAGTTGAGGTGAGTAGATTCTGCTATTAGGTCTGTTCTAGAAGATATCGACAGCAAATTAATTTAAAAAGAGGGAAACACGATCAAGGCTCATCTTCTTATTCTAGGCATGCAACTGCACGCTTTGATTTTTGTTGACAACAACTATGCGTCGCTTAACATACGTCACGCACTCCGTTGCTCTTATTGGTTGTAGGTCTATCCAATTGAGTGAAGAGACATATTTTTTCCTGGTTCGTTCGAAACACGCCCCATAATCACAGCTCTATGGAGCAGCATCAGACTCATTCTGACTAGAATTGAGTAGGACTACGTCAGGCTACTATTTGTTGGTTCTCGCCGATACCAATACCACCATTTTAGTGCAGGATTGGGGCCCCGCCTGATACTGGTATTGGTATCGGTGCAACACAACTTAAAATGAGAAATTTAGATTCTATGCACTTGAAATAGATAAAAGTGTCAAGTGTTAAGTTTTTAAGGACCGAAAATGAAGAGACCGGGACGCAGAGGGGAATTTCGCAGATTTAATGGAGCAACTGCGGAAAAATACTAAAATACAAAGAACCCCAAAAATAATCCCAAAATGTCAGGGAAAACTCACATAGGAAGCCAGAGATGAGGAAAACAACAAAACAACAAACCACCCCTGAGTGAATGCAGAGGTGGAGTATATAAAGGGAGACTGAACTTACGCAAGCTAATCAGCAGATATGGAGCAGGTGTGAGTGGACTAAAGAAAAAGGCACCAAGGGAGAAGGAAACAAACACAAGAGGGCAGCAGAGATCTAGTGCTAAAGTACTAAAGAACTAAAGAAGTGCAAAGGCACATAATACAAAGAAACTAGAAATAAACCCAAGTAGAGGGCAGAACCCTGACAAAAAGCTTATTTTCGATTCCCAGCCCACGGTCTTTCTGCATGGAATCTACATGTTCCCCCTGAGCATGCGTGGGTTCTCTCTGGGTACTCCAGCTTCCTCCCACAGTCCAGAAACATGACTGTTAGGTTAATTGGCTTCTCTAAATTGTCCTTAGGTGTGTGTGTGTCTGAATGGTTGTGTGTCTCTGTGTTGCCCTGCGATGGACTGGCGACCTGTCCGGGGTCGACCCTGCCTCTCGCCCATTGACTGCTGGAGATAGGCACCAGCACCCCTCGCAACCCCGTTGGGACAAGTATGTCAGATAATGGATGCATGCTCAAATAAAACAATTAAAAAAATCGGCTTACTTGTTGCAGCGTTCATCCAGGTAAAATCGGGGCATTGTTAATGCCTCAACAGCTCCCAGAATCATGGCAGCAATAATCAATAAACAACTTTTTTGTCATCCGCAGGGGTCAGCGCTCTGCTTGTCGTGGCCTTAGATGTCACTCAAGCCTTCCGGGTCCAGATGGTCGAGTTCGGAAGAGGACACAAGTACAAGACTCCTCTAAGCATCAACCTTCAGAATATCAACGAAGTCATCCTACAAGAGATTGTGAGTCACCGTTGCATTTTTAAAAAGCTTCAGAGCGGCAGTTTGTACATCATCTTAAAGGCTCTTAAGATTTAGTTGCAACCAGACAGTTCCAGCCTTAAAATCCCCATTAAATGGTACAATAGGGATGTTTTGATTCGCAGCTTAACTGCTTAAGCCCTGAGGGACTTTTCAGGGAAATTCCGCCTGAAATTCCATCTGTGAATTAAAGCAAGTTCAGCTCCTAAACTATAACTTGTAGATACAATTGTTTGTATTTGTGTGACAGAAAGGCATTGAGGGATATTTTTCAGGTGGAACCACTATTTTAAATGTCACCATGTCTGTTTTATAGGTGATTTAACAAAGAAAAAATGAAAAATATTTTATATTCGCTGCATTGAACTGCAGACACCACTCCGCTCAGATCGGTCTGGGGGTTTTATTTATTTAAACAGAGGCTAGTGCATCCTAAAGATTTGCATGTTTCCAAGCGATACAAGGCCTTGTCTATATAAAGACTCAAACTCCCTTCGGATCCAGACATTTGAATTGAGAAAGTTTCCTGGAGAGGTGGAGAAACGTCTTCAAATCTTGGAAATCAAGTCCAGTGGATTTTTTGAACTTTTACGGAAGGATAGAGATCAGCTTTTCAGTTTCAAGTATCATGCAGTAATGATGGAAAACACAATGCAAGACATTAAAAACCGAAACGCCCTGCTGGCATGAAATAAACATTACAACATACACGTTCAATGAGAAATCAAACCGCTGCATAAAGAAATCCAACCTCTTTGGGAATACCCTTTTCTAAAATAAAATACAGTAGTTTATATTGAAAATAAAATATAATTTTTTATTTTTCATAAACACAATATGTAACACTTTAGTGGTCGTCACACTGGCCATTAGGGAGTGTGGCTAAAAATTAATATCTGCTGTTACATTAAGTCTGGTTTATGCTCAGAAACCAGGTGTGTTGCAGTGAACGCAGATATGCCCCGCCCCCTTCCGCAGACACTCAGCTGCACCTCTCCAAAATTGTAGGTGAGCGCAGACAGGAGGCCTCTGATTGGTGAAATCTACATCCGCTCTACTCTATGCGTATTTCCTGTTAGGTTCCCTACCGCCTTGTTTTGTTTGTCTGACCGCCATTGTGGAAAACGACTGGTGAATTCCCCTTAACGACCCGCCCTTCAGAGACATAGACAGGTTTCAGGTATTACAGGCTGACAAAGCAAAAAAACGACCCCCATTCCAAAGGGATTGACCCGTTCATCTAGCCTGACGTAGCCCTACTCAATTCTAGTCAGAATGAGTCTGATGCTGCTCCATAGAGCTGTGATTATGGGGCGTGTTTCGAACTAACCAGGAAAAAAAATGCCTCTGCTCTCAATTGGATAGACCTACAACCAATAAGAGCAACGGAGTGCGTGACGTATGTTAAGCGACGCATAGTTGTTGTCAACAAAAATCAAAGCGTGCAGTTACACGCCTAGAATAAGAAGATGAGCCTTGATCGCGTTTCTCTGTTCCTCTTTTAAAATTAATTTGCTGTCGATATCTTCTAGAACAGACCCAATAGCAGAATCTACTCACCTCAACTCTCCAGCGGCAGCCATTGTTGTTGTCACCCAAGCGCGCTTTGGTGACGTGGTTGATTATGTTACTGTTGATCATCTGTCCATCATTGTATAAAACCCACCCTGACAATTTGATTGGCCCACCAGATATTGTGCGAGCATACTCACGCTACTACTGAGCAATGCCAGACCGAACTTCCTGACCTCAAACGTTGTGGGCGGGACTAAGTTCGGAATGGCACCTAGGCTACCGTTCATCCGTTTCTATTTGCATGTTTTCTAAACTAAAACCAGGCTTTGTTGGGCTGCTCGATAAAACCTGGAACTAAACGCTATTTCTGACATTTTGAATTGAAAAAGCTTCCTGGATGGAAGAGAAACGTCTTCAAACTGGGAAACAAAGTCCAGAGGATTGATTTATTTTTTGGAATGACTCTGACCTGGATGACTGAGAATCTTCACCAGTGCGTTGGATCATGTTTTCTGAATTCTAAGCTTTTAAAGTCATATTAAGCGCCCAAAGGTTCGGTTTGTTGGTGTAGCTGTTCTAAAAGCCAGCCTGTTTTTCCTAATTATGATTATAACAGTTTATATAATTTAAACCAGGAAACCGACTTACACAGAAAACCAGGGGAAATACATTTATTGGATCCCAGTTAGAGCTGGGTCATAACGCGAAAAACGTACCACGATATCAGCCTTCTATTGACAGCAAAAATTATAGATTTTTATTTTTTTTAACGTATTAAAAACAAGAACTAGGAACAAAAACAAAGATTTAAATTGAGTTGAATTGTTTGGCTGTGAGAGGTTGAGAAGCTTCCTGCTAATTGATCAGAGTTTTGTGTAATTATGGAAACATGTATCTGACATATTTTATGTACAGGTGCTGGTCATAAAATTAGAATATCATGAAAAAGTAGATTGATTTCAGTAATTCCATTTAAAAAGTGAAACTTGTATATTATATTCATACATTACATACAAACTAATATATTTCAGATGTTTATTTTGTTTAATTTTGATGATTACAAATGACAACAAATGAAAATATCAAATTCATCATATCAGAAAATTAGAATATTGTGAAAAGGTTCAAAATTGATGGCCCCTGGTGCCACACTCTAATCAGCTAATTAACTCAAACCACCTGCAAAAGCCTTTAAATGGTCTTTCAGTCTAGTTCTATAGGCTACACAATCATGGGGAAGACTGCTGACTTGACAGTTGTCCAAAAGACGACCATCGACACCTTGCACAAGGAGGGCAAGACACAAAAGGTCATCGCTAAAGAGGCTGGCTGTTCACAGAGCTCAGTGTCCAAGCACATTAATAGAGAGGCGAAGGGAAGGAAAAGATGTGGTCGAAAAAAGTGTACAAGCAAGAGAGATAACCGCACCCTGGAGAGGATTGTGAAACAAAACCCATTCAAAAATGTGGGGGAGATTCACAAAGAGTGGACTGCAGCTGGAGTGAGTGCTTCAAGAACCACCACACACAGACGTATGAAAGACATGGGTTTCTGCTGTCGCATTCCTTGTGTCAAGCCACTCTTGAACCACAGACAGCGTCAGAAGCGTCTTGCCTGGGCTAAAGAGAAACAGGACTGGACTGCTGGTGAGTGGTCCAAAGTCATGTTCTCTGATGAAAGTAAATTTTGCATTTCCTTTGGAAATCAAGGTCCCAGAGTCTGGAGGAAAAGAAGAGAGGCACTTCATCCACGTTGCTTGAAGTCCAGTGTAAAGTTTCCACAGTCAGTGATGGTTTGGGGTGCCATGTCATCTGCTGGTGTTGGTCCATTGTGTTTTCTGAGGTCCAGGGTCAACGCAGCCACATACCAGGAAGTTTTAGAGCACTTCATGCTTCCTGCAGCTGACCAACTTTTTGGAGATGCAGATTTCATTTTCCAACAGGACTTGGCACCTGCACACAGTGCCAAAGCTACCAGTACCTGGTTGAAGGACCATGGTATCCCTGTTCTTAATTGGCCAGCAAACTCTCCTGACCTTAACCCCATAGAAAATCTATGGGGTATTGTGAAGAAGAAGATGCAATACACCAGACCCAACAATTCAGAAGAGCTAAAAGCCACTATTAGAGCAACCTGGGCTATCATAACACCTGAGCAGTGCCACAGACTGATCGACTCCATGCCACGCCGCATTGCTGCAGTAATACAGGCCAAAGGAGGCCCAACTAAATACTGAGTGCTGTACATGCTCATACTTTTCATGTTCATACTTTTCAGTTGGCCAACATTTCTATAAATCCTTTGTTTTTATTGGTCTTCAGTAATATTCTAATTTTCTGATATGATAAATTTGAGATTTTCATTTGTTGTCATTTGTAATCATCAAAATTAAACAAAATAAACATCTGAAATATATGAGTTTGTATGTAATGTATGAATATAATATACAAGTTTCACTTTTTAAATGGAATTACTGAAATCAATCTACTTTTTCATGATATTCTAATTTTATGACCAGCACCTGTATGTATTAATGGGTTGTCTATAGTGATGCATAGAAACTGCTTTATTTACTGGCCAGCCCTATTTACCATTGTTAGATTCAGATTTTTGTGAGTGAGTAAATATTAATAATAAAATCTGAGTATTTTATTTTCACCTTTTGCAGAGTTCTGTAGGAGATCGAATCTGCTGCAATGTCTTTTGTAAATGCTACGGACCCCCAGGACCTCCTGGTACTCCTGGAAGGCCAGGAATTAAGGTGAGTGAGGCTGAAACATTATACGTATGTAGAAAGTCAAAGCATAAGATTATACAGTATTTTACTTAAAAAGAGCAACATAAAGATGTTAACATTTAATAATATACTGGGCAAATACTACTTGTGTTTTCTATTTGCTTCTTTATTTTATTGTTCTTGAGGTTTTTTTTACTGGAACTTGACAAACTACTGGGTGCAGAACGGCCTTCAAGCACAAAGTCACTGCCTAGATGGAGAAAATTATTTGGACAGTTTTCTCTTTTTTTTTAAATGTCCACAAAAAAAAGTCTGCTTTTGAATTTGAGCAGAAACAACAGATAATTACATACAAATATAAGAAATAAAAAGTATAAAAATGATGACCTAACTGAACTATAGTCAGCTAAAACTTCTATATAAGCAAAGTAACAAAGTATTTATAGTACTTTATTATTTAACATTCCTGGTCAAGACGGACAGACAGACTACAAACACAGAGACACAGCGCAGTGTGATTCGCTGCCAACGCTAAGTAGATCATCTATAGAAGAACAGGAAACTGATGCCTCCATTCCAGGATGATGTCATAACTGGAAGATGGATTTGCTCCGCATATCCATCTGGAAACCTTCCATTGAAGTAATTTTGGGAAGGGGTGAAAATACTGGTTAGCTGATTGGCCTATGTTGGTGATAGACGGGCCAAATAAACCAATCAGATCAACGAAGCATATGACGTACTAACAGAGCGACGACGAAGAGGAGCCAATTGATAGATCAAACTCTTGCTGAAACCAGTCGGGAGAAGAGCAAAAACATCTTTTCCTCTGAGAAAAGCCTCCAGAGCAGTGTTTTGCTCTTCTTTCAGTGAAGAAATACTCTGTAATTCCGATAAAACTTGCTCGATAGCTACGCTAACGCTAGTTTCATCGGCTGAAGCCGCCATGTTCTTTAGACTGAACTGTCGCGCTTCTCGTTGCGTCACACCTCAACCCGCCTCAAAGCCAACGCTGATTGGACGTTCGTTTGGTGAACGGCTCCAAATTTTCTTCAACGGAGAGTCTCCAGACTGATCTGCGAGTGAAACCTTGAAAGCTCGCGAGATCAGGATGGTCTCACCAGGCTAGCAGGGAAGATGAAGCTACTATGAAATTAAAAATGAGAGAGAACATAAAGCTACAAGTTTATATACTGGAATAAACTGGAAAGTCTGAGACTAGTAGGAATATGTACCAGATGGAGGGAAAGTTGTCATTGTGTCCTCCAGCAGTCTAACCCAATAGTATAACTATAGATATTGTTCTGGATAAAGTCGGGCATATGCTGTATGATTTTCTAAATCGTTGCACGCAGCTACAGCTCACACTGTACAACGAAACCGCAGGGTTTAAAAGTTCCCAGCTCACGCCATACGACCCGAAGCTCTGATGCGATCTACCTGCTCACACTGTACGTCTAAAAGCCATGTCGGACTCAGCTCCGCAGTGAGATGGAGCTATTCCGACTCGTCAATCTGGAAGAAGAAGAACTCCATTGTTTGCAGAGTGCTGGAGGTTCTGGTAAATCAGCTCGTAGTTCTGCTTCAACAGCAGGATTCGCCCACGACCTCCATCCGACGGCCGACTGAATTTCAGACATGTTTGGTTTTCTGCCGACCTCACGATTCCTGATGGGGAGGCGGTCGTTAGAAGCTGATTGCCCCTCATTGCCTCCTGTACAGCTATACAACGCACTATCAGGCTGAGAGGCGGCCCGATTGAAAAAACTTCTTGCACAACTGGAGAATCGGCCCGAAAAGGGAAAAAAATCATACAGTGTAAGCCCGGCAGAGATGGCAAAAGTACTCACTTTCCGTACTTGAGTAAAAGTACAGATACTTGTGTTAAAAAATACTCTGGTAAAAGTGGAAGTACTGATTAAACTTCTTTACTCAAGTAAAAGTAACAAAGTACAGGCTTGTAAATTTACTTAAAGTATAAAAGTAAAAGTAGAAACCACTTTTTTCATGCCGTTGCCTACATTTTAAATGGATGTCTGCCAATAGGACTAGATCTCCGTTGTGTTCATTTTCAATCATCTCGTCGTCCATGCTACTATGCTAACGCCACCGCCACCAAGCTGCAATGATTTGCCGCCAATGAATACCGCCGAATCTGTCGATTCATCTTGTAGCGGTGCGTCAAATGCAACGTAGATTCCCATCCAATTAGATTGAATTTGGTATTGATGACGTGAAAAATAATAACGGTAACTCCATTGAAATGATTCAAAACTAAAGTAACGAGACAATTTTTTAAAATGTAAGGAGTAGAAGTAAAAAGTCGCCATAAAATAAGTAGTAAAGTAAAGTAAAAATATCAGAAAAATCTACTTGAGTACATTAACGAAGTATTTGTACTTCGTTACTTCCCATCTCTGAAGCCCGGCTTAACATGAGCAGCTCTGACTATAAGCTTCATCAAAGGATAAAGCTCTAGGCCTAGCCTTTGCAGAAGACAGGTAAACTAAACTATATTTTCTGATAAAAGATTAGTGATCTCTTAGAAAACTGGAAACAGAATAACATTCATCCCTGAACAAAAAATAAAAAGTTAATTGACCCAGATTTAAAGAGCAATTATTGGTGATTTTATGAAAGAAAACATATTTGATTTATTGGATCAAATCAGTTCATATTTATCCAGTACTTTTCTTTGCTATTCTTCTACAGTGTTCTCTGAATTAACTGGTTTTATGATTTAGAAAGTTAACTGGACACTTAATCCGCTGTACAACAGGTGCAATCTACTCTCTGATTGGTCAGTTTGATTTCTCTCTCTCTTAGACAAATTTGCACCTACTATAAATGAGTTTGTATATATATATATAGATTTCTGCTTTTTATCTCTAATCAGATGATTACAGACCTTTTTACCTGAAGCTTTGCCTCTGAGCTTCTCTGTGTTTCCTTAACAGGGCTCACCTGGTCAGAAGGGTCACCCCGGCTATCCTGGATATGAAGGGTCACCAGTAAGTTATGCCTTAACTGTTTTACAAAGTTTACAGTTAGTTTTCCTGAATTAAGGTTCGTTCACACCCAACATGAATTTGGCAGCTGGAGCGAAGGATTCGGATGTTATGTGTGTGTAGAAGAAGCTGAGTGAGGCGTCAGCGGCGAATGAAGGGAGGCCAATGGCGTGATTTTGGTGACCTTGGCGACATCTGATTGAATCCTTGAATGAGATTGAAGTTGAAAAGATCTGAACCTTTGTTTACATTCGCATCAGCAATTCCAGTCAGGGGTTTAATGTGAAACCTTTACAGTTTTCATCATCAACATAATTAAGGGAGACAAACTGCCGAGTGAGTGAAATCCATCCATATCTTTTTATTTAACTGGAGTTAATAATTGTATACTTTTTTTTACCACTACATCTGCCATTGTGGAAATCAGCAACCAGCAGACTCAATGATATAAAATCCTTTTGCCCCCTCGGGGGGGATTTGCTTGCCTTGGGAATTGCTGTCACTGGCCAGGCGAATTTCAAAAGCAGACAAACTGTGTGAAATTGGTCCAGATTTACGGTCATATCTGCTCCGAGTTCGGTGACGAGTTTGCTGTTAATTCCACATGTTTGGCTGTTGCAGGGAAAACGAGGCCCCCCTGGATTACCTGGACCCCAGGGGATCCAGGGATGTCCTGGACCCAGGGGACAGAAGGTAAGGCTACCTGTCCTGGTGTATGGAGAGAGAAAAGCTGCTACCATCCTGAACCGTCATTTCAAAAACAGAAAATTAAAAACAATCCACTGGACTTTGTTTCCAAGTTTGAAGACGTTTCACTTCCCATCCAGGAAGCTTTTTCAATTTAAAAGCTTCCTGGATGGGAAGCATAACTTCTTCAACAAAGTCCAGTGGATTGTTTTTAATTTTCTGGTTTGGGAATGACTCTGACCTGAATGACTGAGGATCTTCACCACCATAAATCCTGAACTGAAAACTGGAACTTAATCACTTCACCCAGCTAAAGTATTCACACCCTTTATCGGTTTAGATGTACTTTCATTGATTTCCTGTGATGCACTAATTCTAAGTTATAAATAAATGTAAAGTGGGAGGAATCAAAGAGCAGCAATCAGCCAACTGGGCAACTCTGGAGGAAGGTCCCGGCAGAGTCTTTTTCTGCAGAAAAGTAACTTGCCTGTTTTGTGTTGATTATTTCTTGGACAATAAGGCGTCGTCATCCGTAACATTTAAGTTCTTCTACAAAACTTCCCTGAAAATAAAAGTTTACCACGTATTTCAGTTTGTTGGTCATTTACCTTCCGATCTGTGTGAATACTTTAAAAACCAGCAGCCTGTCCCCAGTGGAGCCACTTCTGCTCAGAGCCACTCCTCAGTTCTTTTGCATTTCAGTAATCTTAAAAAAATTAGACCTTTATCCAGAATATTTACTTGAACTATTGAGACTTTGCTTCTAATAAAGCTGTGAGGTTGTGCAGCTGCTCCCAGGACTTCCCTCTAGAAGCCTTCTAACAGATGTGTTCTTTCCACTGGCAGGGATCTCACAGCTCCTCGGGTGAGAGGGTGAGTCACAGAGCAATTTAAGACCAACAGCTTAGCGTTTAATTTAAATCACTGAAAAATGTAGAGATTTGGATAGAGGCAGTGAATTGGTGACTCTCTTTTGCCATTTCAGGGTGAAGATGGAGAAAATGGGGTGGATGGAGTGAATGGAGAACAGGTGGGTACATCTAAGCTTCAGCTGGAGGTGTTTCTCAATCAATCTTTGCCTTTTTAATTCATGAACTTTAATTTTAGAAGCAGAAATTACTTAAAGAAGGTTAAAAGCTGTTCAAAGAAGACTACACTCACCGGCCACTTTATTAGGTACCCCATGCTAGTAACGGGTTGGACCCCCTTTTGCCTTCAGAACTGCCTCAATTCTTGGTGGCATAGATTCAACAAGGTGCTGGAAGCATTCCTCAGGGAGTTTGGTCCATATTGACATGATGGCATCACACAGTTGCCGCAGATTTGTCGGCTGCACATCCATGATGCGAATCTCCCGTTCCACCACATCCCGAAGATGCTCTATTGGATTGAGATCTGGTGACTGTGGAGGCCATTTGAGTACAGTGAACTCATTGTCATGTTCAAGAAACCAGTCTGAGATGATTCCAGCTTTATGACATGGCGCATTATCCTGCTGAAAGTAGCCATCAGAAGTTGGGTACATTGTGGTCATAAAGGGACGGACATGGTCAGCAACAATACTCAGGTAGGCTGTGGCGTTGCAACGATGCTCAATTGGTACCAAGGGGCCCAAAGAGTGCCAAGAAAATATTCCCCACACCATGACACCACCACCACCAGCCTGAACCGTTGATACAAGGCAGGATGGATCCATGCTTTCATGTTGTAGACGCCAAATTCTGACCCTACCATCCGAATGTCGCAGCAGAAATCGAGACTCATCAGACCAGGCAACGTTTTTCCAATCTTCTATTGTCCAATTTCCATGAGCTTGTGCAAATTGTAGCCTCAGTTTCCTGTTCTTAGCTGAAAGGAGTGGCACCCGGTGTGGTCTTCTGCTGCTGTAGCCCATCTGCCTCAAAGTTCCACGTACTGTGCGTTCAGAGATGCTCTTCTGCCCACCTTGGTTGTAACGGGTGGTTATTTGAGTCACTGTTGCCCTTCTATCAGCTCCAACCAGTCTGGCCATTCTCCTCTGACCTCTGGCATCAACAAGGCATTTCCGCCCACAGAACTGCCGCTCACTGGATGTTTTTTCTTTTTCGGACCATTCTCTGTAAACCCTAGAGATGGTTGTGCGTGAAAATCCCAGTAGATCAGCAGTTTCTGAAATACTCAGACCAGCCCTTCTGGCACCAACAATCATGCCACGTTCAAAGTCACTCAAATCACCTTTCTTCCCCATACTGATGCTTGCTTTGAACTGCAGGAGATTGTCTTGACCATGTCTACATGCCTAAATGCACTGAGTTGCCGCCATGTGATTGGCTGCTTAGAAATTAAGTGTTAACGAGTAGTTGGACAGGTGTACCTAATAAAGTGGCCGGTTAGTGTATATCTAAACATAATGTTGGAAAGTTTAGGTGAAGGAAAAATTGTTGTTACAAACAAAGGCATTGCCAGAACATTAGTAGGAACCACGACGTCTATCAGCCGTTTGGTGATCTGGGATGTTTTTCTCTCCGCAGGGGAACGCAGGCGTAGCTGGAATTAAAGGAGAAAAAGGAGATCCTGGAGGCTCGGTAAAATAAAACTCTGAAAGGTTTCGTTCACCTCAGCGTTTTTCTTTTATTCGCAGAAGCGCGATCTAATCTGGGGCAATTCAGACATCTGAGAGAAGGAAAAAAGAAAAGATCTGCAAAGAAACTATAAAATACTGTAAGTGTCTGTCTTATATTGATCTAAGAGGTGAGTCTGTCGTCTTCAGGGCATCCCGGGGACCAGAGGTGAGAAAGGACTGAAAGGAGACCGAGGCCTGAGAGGAGATCCGGTACGTTCCCCGTCTTTTTCTTTTTTTCATGGTGCTAAAAATGTCAGAATGCTAACATTTATGTGAAATAAAAGAAACAACGCGTTAGTTTTATCAACCTAGTTAGCTTTTTATTCAGATTTCTTTTTTTTTTAAAAAGGTTTGTTAAAAAAAAATCTTAAAGAAAAAAATATCTTTGGATTTTTGAAATTAATATCTGAAATAAAAAAAATTTGAAAAAACCCTGAAAAATAAAACCTGAAAAAAAAATCTGATTAAAAAAAATTAGTAAATTCTGGAAAACTATTTTTATATAAAAATGCATTTAAAATGTATCTTTCTTAAAGCTTGAAAAAAAACTGTTTTAAGAAAATTATTAAAAAATAAATAAATTCTGTAAAACTTTTTTATATAGAGAAATTTTTATAAAAATGTTTTCTTTCTTAAAGCTTGAAAATAAAATCTGAAAAAAATTATAAAATGTGTTTTTTCATTGAGAATTTTTTTTTCAATTTCTAAATGGATGAATTTCTAAATTTCCGTTTTTGAATTGATGAAATTGTAACAAATTGATCTGCATTCAAATTAACATAAGGCTGATGATTTTTTTTTTATAAATCTTTTATTGAAATGTCAGAGGTCCGATCTCTCCTCCCATCCCAAGTGTGTGTGTGTGTGTGTGGGGGGGGGGTATTTTTTATAGTTTTATTTATTTATCTGCCTTTTTATAAAACATGTCACATCTGTAATAAATTTCAAACATCTAAATCTCTGCAGAGAACTGTAGACTTTAAATTGGACTCAGATCTGAAAGAGCCTGAAAGTTTAGATTTTATATCAACAAACCCTGGAGCTAAGAGCTGCGGCTCTGATGGTTTTACAAAGGAAGCTTTCCAAAAGGTCCAGACTTACTGTAATAAGATCCGCTTTAGAGCTGAACCAGCTCAGGGTTTATTTTTCTCACACTTAAGATCTTGGTTCATTTCACAGGGAGAACCGGGACCCAACAACCAACAAAGAGGACGCAAAGGAGACCCTGGAGACCAAGGAGAGCCGGTAAGAAACATCTTTTAGCAGCTCGAGTCGATATGATGGATGGATGGATGATGGATGGATGGATGGATGGATGGATGGATGATGGATGGATGGATGGATGGATGATGCTCGTTGAAGAGAAATTAGAAACCAGATCAGTTCATCACTAACTGCTGATTATCAGATCAGCGTTTTTACTTCTGTTATTTTTACATCTATAGGGAGAAGCTGGAAGCGACGGGATAAAAGGAGCAAAAGGAGAGAAAGGAAACGAGGTGAGTTTTCTGAAATTTTCTCAATTTAAAACTAAATTCAAACATTTTTTTTAAATCTATAACACTGTATCCATGCTACGCTAAGAGACATTTCCATGTTCTAGATAACTAAAATAAAGTCAAAATATTAAACCTATGAGAATAGTCAGAATATAATGAGCATAAAGCCACATTACAAAACTAGAAGTAGCCTCATTTGATGGAAACGTTTAGACAAAAGAGCAGAAATCAATAACTCTGTCCAAGCGTTGTTCTCTTATCATTTATGACGCATTTGTTATAAATATGTCGTGGACCAAAAACGCAGACTGACATCAGAACCGACTTGAGAACTTGAAAGTTTTCAATTAAATTCTTCAGGCCGATGAAGACCTGGAAATTAATAGGAATTTATTTAAGACAATTTTTGATAAACAACAATAAATGAATCAACCAAATACACACAAAACAGACTAGTTTACATCAACCAAAACAAACACATTTCCAAACTAACTAAATTCACCGGAACTGAAATTGAAGCAAAACCCTCCATGAAATAAACCTGTCGACACAAACATCCAGAGAAATTACATAAATTTATAGAAATTGTATGAAAAGGGGTTTAAAGAAGTAAAACTTATTATTCATACCCGCTCTCCCTCTAATTGCACTTAAACTGACTTAAAGTTAAGGAACTGTCCTGTTAAACTTGTTTTTTATCCAATATTCACACATGAAACAAAAAAACAATAACTATATATATATATATATATATATATATATATATATATATATATATATATATATATAGGCCTCGGCCTCTGGACTGCTGATAAAACACAGTGGATTCTTTGTTCTTATTCTTTTTGCTTTCTTCACTTTCTCTTTCTTTCTTTCTTTTCTTTGTCTCTCTCTCTCTCTCTCTTAACTCTACGCTTTCCCTCTTCTCTCTGTCCTGCTAATTTCATCCACACCAATGTTTGACTAAAACCTTCTTTGGCCATCAGGGTATCTTTATTTTTGGTTTTAGTTTTTATTTTTTGTTGTAATTCTTTTACGTTTGTGGTGCTCAATTTACCATTAAAACCGTAGTTTTTTATCCAGTAACACAACGGCTCTACCGCCACTGGGTCATCATTTTTAACTGCTTTCCAGTCTTTACACTGGAGTTCCTCCAATAACTTCTGTTTTTCTTACTTTGCCCCTTTCCCATTTTGAACTAAATTTGGGCCCAGTGGGTTTTCAACACCTGTCGTGTTCTAAACACTGGGGCTTCAGACAAGATGGTGATCAACTACTTTTCGTGGTAAAACTCACTTCAACCTTTGCAGGTGGAGTTTTCTTGTCTACAAACATCCACAAAAGCTCACCATTTAACCCTTGTCTTTTTGGTATGAAATACAGATATCTAGTGATATCTATATTTCCTTTCACACACACACACACACACTCACACACACACTGCGCAGTTAACTTTTACTTTATTCCCGTTTTCTTTATTTTAAACACAGAGGACGCCGCCGTCCTACGCAGAATTTAACTAGTTTACAACTAGGGGAGACTGCCCTCCCGCGGATTTTAACTGTTTTAAAATTTCTGTTTTACCTGATAGAGTCTAGAATTGTCAGGGTTTTAGTACAACAGGGGGACCTCGTTACCCCGCGCGGAATTTAACTATTAAAAATAGAGGACACCGCCGTCCTTCACGAGGTTTAAACTGTATGCTGTTTTTCTCTCATGGTTCTCACTCACTCCTTATTAAAGGGAAAACTACTCACAATTCTCTGCGTCCTTGGAATGCTTCAACCATCTCCAAACCAAATCAACTAAATATTTAGTTTGTTAAATAAATATTTTAACAAACTAACCTTTAATGCATTTTAAGGCTAATCTGAATGTGTCCACATCTGCATAATGTTGGAGTAGGAAGTGTATCGATATTCCCAGGCTTTTACTTTGGTAGTTCACCTCCGCTTTTCAGCAACTCAATTTGCATATTAGCAAAAATATTTAGTTTGTTAAATAAATATTTAATTTTAAGCTAAATTATTATTTAACAAACTATATATTAAACATGGAGCTAAATATTTAATTTGCAGACTAAATAGTTTGAAGCTAAATGTTTATTTAACAAGTGTTAGGTTTAAACACCAAACACCTTATTCAGCAACCTGCACAAAGAAAGACACAGAGAATTTGAGTATAATTTACTTGCAAGGAGAGGGGATCAGAGACTGCATTCAGCTACAACCTCCAACCCACTCTGAAGCAGTCTCTGTCTTCCAAGCTTTTTATTTGGAATGCCCTGGTTACAATGTGGTCTCAACCGCTAAGGGGAGGGGATCACAGAACCCAGTTGAAACCAGAATTTTCGTACAACATCATACAACATCATAAGATAAGGAAAGTTTCTTTCCACATGCGGTGTGTGCAACTCTGCGCAGCTCTCAGAGTTTCACAACATTAACCCAGCTTTGACCCCAGCAACCTCCTGCACAGGCTTACAACAAGTAAAGTTCAACAGCTTTCAACACTCTTTGTAATATAAGTAAGATAGAGATAACAAATGTGTATAATATGATTAAAGTAGAATAACTTATGTACAATTAATCCAACAACAAGCTAAATATTTATTTATCAAAGTAAGATTTTTATAAATGAATGAACGGCACAGTGAAAAAATGACTTTGGGGAAAAAATAAACCCCTTATTTTTCTCTTAAAACACGCTTAATAACCATAAATATTGCTCCTTATTATTGACAGCCTAACTTTACAAACGGCGCCCCATAAATAAGCAGATCATGGCTTGTCTACAGTGAAAAGAAGGACTGGGTTATTTACTTTGGCCTTTTTGGAAACACAGGAAGGAGCAATCAGCTAAGTGAGGTTAGTGCTTGGAAAAAATCTTTCATTCCTTTAGAGTCAGCATGAAAAGTCAGCTGAGTACAAAACATAGAGAGGAAAACAAGAAGAAAAGGGACAAGAAGAGAGGGACACAACCTAGAACAGATCATGGATGTCTATTCTATTAACATTTCTCCATCTGTAGAATGGGGCTGTTTGATGTCTTCTCCATTCAGAGGGGCCCCTGCCTGTCTTTGCCTAGGGCCCCACATTTCCTAAATCCGCCCCTGCTCCTGTTTCCATCTGGTTAACAGCTCTACACTGCAAAAACAATCTAGAAATAAGTAAAAATTTCTTAAATTAAGTGTATTTACCCTTAATTTGAGTAGGTAAATATGAAGATTTGCCAATGAAATTAGTATCTTTACTCCTAAAATAATATAATTAGATAATATGAACTTGAAATAAGATAATACAATTGTTTTTTTCTTATTTTAAATGTAAATTGTCTTGTTCCATTGGCAAAGTCTCTCACTTTCGTCCTCAATTGGAGAAAAAATGCACTTACTTGAAGAAAAAATTACTTACATAGATTTCCATTTTTTGCAGTGTAAGACGTCTTCATCACAGATGATGTTTTAGTAGATGTTCAGTGTTTGCTCTGTTGTCTGAACCGTCTGTCTGCTGTAGGGTCGAGATGGAAGACGAGGCCAAGGCGGCTCGCCGGTAAGAGATCCATCAAACCTTTCATGCTGATGAGAGTTTGGTTGCTAAGATGCGTTCATAACGTGTGATCTGCTCATTGTAGGGAGATCCTGGAGAAAAAGGAGATCGAGGCCTCCCAGGTGTGCCGGGAGTTTCAGGCCTAAAGGTGAGAATAAAGCTTTTCCATCATGTTTGAGTCTGCGGTGAAGTTTAACCTGTCAAAGCTTCCTATCTGTCCTGCATGGGCGTAGCTTTGCTCACGGACCATAGGGACATGTCCCTTCCAACATTTTGGATCGACCTGCTTGTCCCTACCAATAATTAAATGGGAGCAACATGTTTATAATTTATTTATTTATTTCGAACAGACAGTAAAAACAATCAAAAAAGAAAAAAATTTGAATGAAACAAACTTAAGAATGAAAATATAAAACAAATAATTTTGCCCATGTGACATATTTTATATTTTCTGTTCGAAAAGGAGCAGGTAGGAGATGCATCTAAAGCTCACATTTAGCATAAAAAACCAACCTATTCTCATTATGAGTGCGTATGAAATCGTACGGAAAGTTATGCACCGTAATTTCGTAAGTTTTGGACGTTTTTTTCGTCGTATGCACATCTGACGCACCATTCACGAATATAGAATATAAATTACAATTAGCCCTAATCCTGACCCTAAGATATAAAACAGCAAGCAACGTAGTTAGAGACATGAAGTGATGATTGCACTGTTTTTCCCATTTTTACGTCCGTCCGCGGATCTGCTTTTTTTTTCTCTCTCCCAGCACATGCACACTGATGTGGTTTTTTGAGGAAAAAAATCCAAAACGTACGTAATAGTGTGCATAACTTTTCGTACGACTTCATACGCACTGATAATGACAATATGTTGAAAAAACAGCATGCATATTTTAGCAAAGGACCGATGACATCAGACCAATGAAACTGAAGACCAATAGTGTCCCTACCAAAGCTGAAATCAAACCTTTGCCTTTGCTGTACTGCGCTGCTGTTTCCTTCATTAACAGCTAGTTTCCAAATGGCTGCAGGTTTTTTTTAAATGTTGATCTGTTTTCCCAGCTATGATCGTTTGCAGCAGCAAACCTCATGCAGAGATCACTCCCGATCATTAGGAACGTGTCCTCGGCCTCCGTCAGCCGAGGCTCCTGCGTCTTCAGTCCTGTTGCTCTGTTTTAGAAACACAGAGCTCAGCACATTATGTCAGGTTTTGGAGGGTTTCCTGCTCTTGGCTGGTTCTCAGACTTCCTTGGAAATCTGCTGGAGCTTTTCAGGGTGATTGGAGCCAAATGTGTCTGTGGAGTTCCACTGAGTTTCCAGCATTCATGAAGATCAAGCTCTGCGCTTTGCTTCAATTCTTTCTTATTACAGCTTTATACAGGAAACACTAAGAAACATTCTTTTAAGGTTTTTAAGGTGTAAAATTTCTTCTGCATGTCTGCTACTGGATTGTGCAGAGAAACAGTGGAGCTTATTGTTCAATTCTATTCAGTTTATTTCTATAGCTCCAATTCACATCATGTCATCTCAGGTCACTTTCCAGTTCACTAGATCAGACTGTCAGATCGGTTCAAAGTTTTCTATCTAAGGAAAACCAGCTGATTGCATCGACTCATTGACTCTTCAGCAATCCCTCACACTAAGCATGCTTGTAGCGACAGTGGAGAGGAAAAACCCCCTTTGAACAGGAGGAAACCTCCAGCAGAACCAAAACCAGGCTCAGTGTGAGCGGCTAACAAATAAACCAACAAATCTGCAGAGTGGGAGAATAGAGATAGAATGAGGCAGAATGATGAAAAAGGGGTCCCTATGTCCTCCAGCAGTCTAAGCCTATAGCAGCATGTCATCTTAGGTCACTTTACGGAGATAATTCAACCAGATCTTCCTGTCAGATTAAAGGTTCAAATTTTTCTATCTAAGGAAGACCAGGTGATTGTATCGACTCATTGACTCTTCAGCAATCCCTCACACTAAGCGTGCATGTAGCAACAGTGGAGAGGAAAAACGTCCTTTTAACAGGATGAAAGTTTAATTCCAGCAACCTTAAAAGCCTTTGGTACATATCCCTGTAACAGAGGAGATCGAAGGAAATACCTCCTTAAATAACCTGGTTGGAACTGGATCTAACATACAAGTTGAAGGCTTAGATGAAGACAATAGTTTTGCTAATTCAGAGAGTTCAACTGGATCAAAGCAGTCTAAACCCGGTTCAGATTCCATGACTACCTCAGGTACAATCGCGGATAGAGGAGTGCTTATGATCTTATTTTTAATAAGATCAATCTTATTTATAAAGAATCCCATAAAATCATTGCTGCTAAGAGCAGGTGGAATGGACGGTTCAACAGAGCTATGGCTCTGGGTAAATTTGACAACTGGATTAAAAGATGTCCAGGATTATTCTTATTCTCCTCTATTAATGAGGAAAAATATGCTGCTCTTGCTTTATGAAGGGTATTTTTATACAGCAGTAAACTGTTTTTCTAGACTAGGTATTCCTAGGCACGCAGAGCGCCATCTTGTCTCCAGTTTCCTAGCATTTTACTTCAGAGTGCGCCGCTCTGCATTAAACCAGGGAGCCAGCTTTCTATTTTTAAAGTTTTTTCTTTTCTCTAAAGCAGTACGCGGGAAACTAGAAGGAAACAAAGTTACTAAAAGAACAGTTTTTTTTTTTTTGCTTTACAGTTTAAATGGGGGAAAGTAAGGGCTAAACGTTCAAATGTTTTTTGCGTTGGGAAACAGGACATGGTGGCTCTGAGTTACTCAGAAAATATAACCTGAATGAGAGAAAAAAAGGGACTGTTCTGGTTTGTGTTCGATGATCATTGATTCGGATCTGATCCTTGCAGGGACCCAGAGGAGACAAAGGTCAGCGAGGACCAAAGGGGATTGCAGGTTTTCCTGGACGTCAGGTAAGATCCTGCTTGACCTGCCCGACTCTCTCACCAAGGTGAAGCTCAGGGAACAGCTGCAGGGCTTAGAGGACATCGGTCCTGATGGAATCCAGGGATCCAAACCAGATCAGTGAGTCTAAGGTAACCTCAGGTTCTTTTGTTAAAAGGTCATCACCCCCCCGATCCCTCTCACATACAGTAGGCCCAGTCTGTGAGTGTAGAGTGGCATTGTACTTAGTTTGTAATTAACCCCATGCTGTCTAATAACTCTACCGATTGGGAGCATATATATAGTAAAGAGAATTGGTCCTAGCACTGATCCCTGTGGTACTCCACAGGTAACCTTTGAGCATAAACCTTTGCTTTATGTTGGTTTCCCCTCAGCCCTTTGAAGATCCAACCTCAGATCTGGGTTTTTAATTGGAGGGTCTTTGACTAGCAGCTTGATTATTTTCTCTTTAGCTTCTTTTACTCTTCGTTATAGATTGACCGTTTGGGTTAATGGTTCCTAGTTTGGACCCAGCTTCAGCGGTTGGACAGGTGGTCTCAAACAGGCTCTAGGTCTCCTCCTGCTCTGGAGGTCTTTGTTTTCTATGTGGGAGAAACTAGTCGTGACAAACCCAGTCCACAGTTTCAGTTACTGATGACGTCCTGAGATTTTCCTCTTCTACTGTCAGCCTCTGAGTCTGATGATTTTCCTGCAGGGCGACCCGGGACGGCCTGGACCTCCAGGAGCTGCTGGACGTCCGGGTGCTAATGGACAGAAGGTGTGCAGCTTCCATCATCAACCATCATTACCACAGATTTCCTCTGTTTGTCCATAACTAGAATAAACTTGTTTGTTTGGACTAGATGTAAGAAAGGAGCCGAGCTTCAAGGTTTTGGTAGACCCAGTAGGGTTCAGACATAAATATCTTCATCTATTCATTTTCTATTCAGTTTATTTCTATAGCTCTAAGGAAAACCAGCTGATAGCATCGTGTTATTGACTCTTCAGCAATCCCTCACACTAAGCATGCTTGTAGCGACAGTGGAGAGGAAAAACTCCCTTTGAACAGGAAGAAACCTCCAGCAGAACCAGGCTCAGTGTGAGCGGCCATCTGCTGAGGCCCACTGGGGTTCAAGAAGACAGAAGCAGACATAGAAAAAGAAGCATAGATACAAAAGGCAACTGTCAACCAGCTCCACAGGCGGCCCCGTCCAGGAAACACACAGCCAGGCAGACGAGCTCCGAGCCAGCTCCCATGTCAGAGGATGAAGAGAGCACATCCAGTTAGTCACAGTCAGAGAAACAGGACTACACTGGAAAACAGGCCAAGCTCCAACATCTAGAAACAAAGGTGTTGATGGCAGCAGCACAGCTGATATTTCTCTCCAGGATGGAGTCACAGCCAAACAGGAACAGACCAGATGAAGCTACTATGAGAAAAAGCAGAGAGAGCAGAACGTTAGAGATTGAACTAACAGATTCTGCAGAGTGGGAGAATAGAGATAGAATGAAGCAGAAAGATGAAAAAGGGGTCCCTATGTCCTCCAGCAGTCTAAGCCTATAGCAGCAGAACTATAGAGATAGCTCAGGATAACCTGAGCCACTCTAACTAGAAGCTTTATCAAAAAGGAAAGTTTTAAGCCTTAAAAGTAGACAGGGTGTCTGCCTCACGGACTAAAACTGGTAGTTGATATCATTTGCAAATCTTCAAGCCAACCTTGTGCTCAGAACTTTCACTGTTAAAAAAGTAAATGGCAATTGTTGTTCTAACACACAATTGTATTGTAATCCGACTCAGAAATATAAATTTGACATCTAACAAATAAATACACGTTTGCCCAACTCAAATTCTCAGAAGTTGGTTTAACAAGGAGTTTTAAATCGCCTATACAAGATTTTTTGAGTTCCCTCAACTGTAAACTCATGGGCATGCGCACTGCTTATGTTCATGGACACGCCCACTACGGTACGGGGTTTCCTATCCCTTTCTTCAAGGGCACAGCCTTTTTCCCTCGTGTTTGAGAAGATTGGCGGACATTGTGATTTTATGCATCTGGAGAACCACGGAGGAACGACCCTGGGACCTTACCAGTTTTCCCGGTGAGTGCTGCAAAGTACAGACAGTTAGCGGTTAGCTCCGTGAGTTAGCATTCGCTTGTGGTGTATTGCCACCGAGTTGAAGCATGAGTTCACATGTTTTTCACGTTCTGATGAAAGGAAAAGCAGCGCACGTGCACGTGTATAATGCGCGTGTGCGCGTGCGTGTTTATGCCGCGCATGTGCGGGTGAGTGTTTATGCATAGAGAAAAGAGTGTGCCTGTTATTTTCATTGTACAAATGAAAAGAGACATTAAGTTGAGTGTAATAACTTATTAAATTTCTAAATTGTTTTATGTAGTGCAGTGTTGTTGCACTCAGGCACAGAATATTACAAGACTACATTATTTTACTTTCTTAATCCGATGTGGGTATTTACTGTTATTTACATTATTTACATGTGGATTTTTTGCTTTCATGATTTTATTTGCTTTACAAGAAAAACAGTGACATTAACATTTTATATGTTAACCCTGTAATGCAGCAGTTAATTCGTAATGAGTTAGAAAAGTTACATTACACACTGAAATTTATCATACTTGGAGAGATATAAACTGTACAGTTAAGAACAAGAAGTGAATGGATTTAACCAAGCCCTGTTGTGCTATGCAGGCTGGGTTTTTTGGATACCCTGGATTCTGGATTCTCTCCTTAAATGGAGATGGCGAGCCAACCGTGTGAACATCTGGATTTGGATTGAAGAGAAGGATTTGGACTGAAGAGGACTTTCTTTTCTTGCATTCATCGTCCTGTCGGAGTGGTAGGACTAAAAAGAAAAACTCAGAGATAAAAAGGGAAAACCTTTTTCTTTTTCCGTTGGGAAACAAGACATTTTATTTCATTTTATTTTTTTTAAAAGGGTGCACCCAATTTAAAGAGACTACAATTGAAAAAAACAAACTGAAGGCCGTCCAAATTTGTAAAACTGTTATTTTTTCATATATGTTAATACACTTACTTCACAAAAAATTACCTGTGTGTTTTCCTCTTACTAAAATGGTGTCTTACTGTTTTTTCCCTCATCATCACTCTTACGAATCTAGAACATTCTGGTCCAGTGTCAGGTTACTTTGATCTGTGCAGTTAAGATTATGTTGTTGAACATGGTTTTATACTGTATCTATGCAATGTTTGGCTTGAAGCAATAAAAATGTTGTATTAACATAATTTTTTGTGTGTTGAATGATTGGTAGTGAAGACGATTGGTAGGACTAAAAAAACTGAGTTGATAGAACTCAACTTGCAGATAACACTACAAAATCTGAGTTTGTAGAACTCAAAATCTATATGTCAAACTCATAAAACAAAGTTGATAGAACTCAGAACTTAAAGGTGAAACTCAAAAACCTAAGTTGGTAGAACTCAAAATTTCTATGTAACACTCCAAAAACCTAAGTTGGCAGAACTCAAAAATCTTTGTAAACTCAACCACAGTGAATTTAAGTAAGGAAAACTCAAAAAACCAAATGCATCACGTTGCCTAGAAAATGTAAGTTCTGTCAACCTCTATTTTTTTTTCAGTGTTGAGTCTCAGAAGAATTACAGTATTTTTAATTTCCTGCTTTAGAGTAAAACAGTGAGGGCTGTTGGAATGTTGAGCTAAATCATCTCTGCTTTCCTCAGGTTTGTTAAGGAGCAGCCTTTGTCCAACATGGGAAATCTTGAGGCTGATGTTAATAAGATTTTGTTTTTCTTGAAGGGCCAACCTGGAGACGTGGGTGATAAGGGCGACATCGGACCAGGGGGAGCCAAAGGACCGCCGGTAAGCAGGCAGAGGTTCAGAGTCTGCAGCTGTTTTCAGTCATTCACTGCAGCCATAAAGCTACAGAAGATCTGAGATGGATGTTTAATTTGCAGATTATATGATGATGTAGTTTTAATGAGGTTTCATTCAGATTAATGTGGTGTTGATCTGAAAACAAAAGCAGCCTTCAGGGCCCTAATCCGTCATTCTGGACATGTAAACAGAGCCATTTCTCCAAACTCTACCTCACTGCAGCATCTTTTTGTGAAGTTTGTCTGCTGCCCGGAAGAAAAACAGCTAATTAAAAACATTAAAAACGAATCCAAACCCTAAAATCAATCTGTCTCCTCCTAAAATGAACGCGTGTCAGAATGTACAGCTGCTGGCTGCAGAGTGCAGGCCTTCTCTGCTCTCAGACAACATCTTCCTCCTCGCCTCTAACTGAAGAATCTACATGTTCTTCTACTGGTATCCCTCATGCAGCACCTGCCCCTTTCCCAAATCAATTTGCCCTTTTTACCATTAGGCAAAACTAGGCCCTTGCCCAGGGCCCCAAGTTCCTGGGGGCCCCATAAAACTTTGTGTACATGTATGGTTAATACAGCTATTCCTTAACCCTGTAATGCCAAATGTATCATATGTGATACATGCAGTTTCTGAAATGTTTTGCGTCCTTTTGCATAATTTAATGGTAAAAACTTTGCTAAAAATCCTATTGTACACAATCAGATATACCTGATAACAGAGGGCAGAAGACTACACAAATCTTGACTTATCGCATAGTAATAAATTATTAATCTTTTTACATATTTTGTTAAAAGGCCAAATAAGGAATTCAAACCAAAAAAAAATATTTTCTGTTTTGTTTTATTCTTGGATCGGGCTTTAAACGGTTAAGTACAGGTGCTGGTCATAAAATTAGAATATCATGAAAAAGTAGATTGATTTCAGTAATTCCATTTAAAAAGTGAAACTTGTATATTATATTCATACATTACATACAAACTCATATATTTCAGATGTTTATTTTGTTTAATTTTGATGATTACAAATGACAACAAATGAAAATCTCAAATTCATCATATCAGAAAATTAGAATATTGTGAAAAGGTTCAAAATTGATGGCCCCTGGTGCCACACTCTAATCAGCTAATTAGCTCAAACCACCTGCAAAAGCCTTTAAATGGTCTTTCAGTCTAGTTCTATAGGCTACACAATCATGGGGAAGACTGCTGACTTGACAGTTGTCCAAAAGACGACCATCGACACCTTGCACAAGGAGGGCAAGACACAAAAGGTCATCGCTAAAGAGGCTGGCTGTTCACAGAGCTCAGTGTCCAAGCACATTAATAGAGAGGCGAAGGGAAGGAAAAGATGTGGTCGAAAAAAGTGTACAAGCAAGAGAGATAACCGCACCCTGGAGAGGATTGTGAAACAAAACCCCTTCAAAAATGTGGGGGAGATTCACAAAGAGTGGACTGCAGCTGGAGTGAGTGCTTCAAGAACCACCACACACAGACGTATGAAAGACATGGGTTTCTGCTGTCGCATTCCTTGTGTCAAGCCACTCTTGAACCACAGACAGCGTCAGAAGCGTCTTGCCTGGGCTAAAGAGAAACAGGACTGGACTGCTGGTGAGTGGTCCAAAGTCATGTTCTCTGATGAAAGTAAATTTTGCATTTCCTTTGGAAATCAAGGTCCCAGAGTCTGGAGGAAAAGAAGAGAGGCACTTCATCCACGTTGCTTGAAGTCCAGTGTAAAGTTTCCACAGTCAGTGATGGTTTGGGGTGCCATGTCATCTGCTGGTGTTGGTCCATTGTGTTTTCTGAGGTCCAGGGTCAACGCAGCCACATACCAGGAAGTTTTAGAGCACTTCATGCTTCCTGCAGCTGACCAACTTTTTGGAGATGCAGATTTCATTTTCCAACAGGACTTGGCACCTGCACACAGTGCCAAAGCTACCAGTACCTGGTTGAAGGACCATGGTATCCCTGTTCTTAATTGGCCAGCAAACTCTCCTGACCTTAACCCCATAGAAAATCTATGGGGTATTGTGAAGAAGAAGATGCAATACACCAGACCCAACAATTCAGAAGAGCTAAAAGCCACTATTAGAGCAACCTGGGCTATCATAACACCTGAGCAGTGCCACAGACTGATCGACTCCATGCCACGCCGCATTGCTGCAGTAATACAGGCCAAAGGAGGCCCAACTAAATACTGAGTGCTGTACATGCTCATACTTTTCATGTTCATACTTTTCAGTTGGCCAACATTTCTATAAATCCTTTGTTTTTATTGGTCTTCAGTAATATTCTAATTTTCTGATATGATGAATTTGAGATTTTCATTTGTTGTCATTTGTAATCATCAAAATTAAACAAAATAAACATCTGAAATATATGAGTTTGTATGTAATGTATGAATATAATATACAAGTTTCACTTTTTAAATGGAATTACTGAAATCAATCTACTTTTTTATGATATTCTAATTTTATGACCAGCACCTGTATGCACATTAACAAATCTAGCGACTTTTTCTGCTACTGGAGACTTTGGCGACAACGGCTAAAAGCAGCGAACTCTGGTCTCCAGAGCGAGTAGATTGGTGATTCCGTCCGTCACAACCCGATCTGTCCTGTGCATGCGCAACCAGGTATACATCCGGGAGTCCATAAATGTCATTATTAGTGTTGCACTGATACCGGTAACAGTATCGGTCGGGGCCCCGATCCAGCACTAAAATGGAGGTATCAGTATCGGCGAGTACCAACCAATAGGGCACCGATATCATTTTGAGAGCCAACAGTTTCTTCAACAATTGTCACCCATTCCAGGTAGGCAATAAAAAGTTCTACTGTCACGATTTGGTGTTGGATTGAGGAACCAAAAGCAGAGGCAAGTTGGCAGAGGTGAATTTAGGTGGGTTTAATGAGGTTCACAGGTACAGAGGCGGGAATCAAAAAATCCAAAAAAAATAACTAACAAACCAGAACCAAGGAGACATCAGGGGAAAACCAAACTCTAGGAGCCAGGGAGAGACGAGGTAAGCAGACAGACGTTAGACGAGGGTCCAGCAAACAGGAACTGAAGAGGGAGGCTTTTAAAGGGGACAGAGACAAAGAGAGGGCTAACGAGAGGATTGGAAACAGGTGAGAACAGAGCAGAAAACAGAGCTAAGGAAAGAGGACACAAGAGGGCAGCAGAGGACAACAAATGGAAAACCTGGAAGACAGGAACTAACAAGAAAATAACAAAATAATAATTAAACACTAAAACAAGGAGCAAAGTAAAACTGAATACTCTAAATAAACATAACAAAACCAAGACTGTGACATCTACTGGATTCACTTTGTTTTAGTCTTTTTCCTGCTTCACTAAGGTAGGCAGCAGCTTGACATGAAGCCATGCAGTCTGCAGTTCTTCATTTATACACACGCATCAATTTCAAACAGATGGTATCGGTATCGGCCGATACTGCAGTCAGGTATCGGGGCTAAAAAATGGCATCGTGTAGTGAGAGGTACCTCCTGCTCTCCAGAGCGAGTAGATTGGTAACCCCGCCTCCTGCTCTCCTCTATCTTGTCTGCTGTCATGATTCATGCAGCTATTATTTCATCCAAATGAAAAATGGAGAACAGATAAGCAGATCATGGCTTGTCTACAGTGAAAAGAAGGACTGGGTTATTTACTTTGGCCTTTTTGGAAACACAGGAAGGAGCAATCAGCTAAGTGAGCTTAGTGCTTGGAAAAAATCTTTCATTCCTTTAGAGACAGCATGAAAAGTCAGCTGAGTACAAAACATAGAGAGGAAAACAAGAAGAAAAGGGACAAGAAGAGAGGGACACAACCTAGAACAGATCATGGCTTGTCTACAGTGAAAAGAAGGACGGGGTTATTGGGTTACAGGAAGGAGCAAAACATAGAGAGGAAAACAAGAAGAAAAGGGACAAAACCTAGAACAGATCATGGATGTCTATTCTATTAACATTTCTCTATCTGTAGAATGGGGCTGTTTTATGTCTTCTCCATTCAGAGGGCCCCCTGCCTGTCTTTGCCTAGGGCCCCACATTTCCTAAATCCGCGCCTGGCTGTGCCCCAGATAATTGTGGAGCTATGTTATCATTAATTAAAAGCTTAAGAAGTAAAGCATCTGGCAATGTTTGGTGGAATCTCCAGAAGGTGGTTGGTGTTGTGGAGTTTGGAAGTTGAGGAAGAGGCATTTATTGCAAGAAATAAGGTTCAAATTTATTTAATATCTTCAGATGGAGAGATAGGTCCTCTGTCACTGCGAAAAGCTCAGCACATACATATAACTTACAAACATCCCAACACACACACTCCCCCCAGGGGAGCCGACCAGGGACGTGGCTAGACCTATTCTAGGGTGGCTGAAGTCATCCCTTCGTTGGTATTAGCCACCCCATAATTATTTTGCGATTTTTATTGTTATTTTTTTATTTATTGATTTTTTTTCCATATAACCCCAAACAATTGCAGTAAAGCACTGAAAACGAGCCACCAAGAAGGCAAGTTAATCTGAAGATAAGTTCCTGTTAGTTTATTTACAAACACAATTATTTATACAATTATTAATATCGTTAGGATATTCATTTCCTTCATTGGCTCCGCGTCCAGCGTCACGTCACGTGGTACACGGCCATCAACTGGACCATAGCAGCTGTGCAGTGCAGCAACAGCGCGCCCTTTGAATCTCCACACAGTCATCGAGCTTGATTAGGAAAGTTATGGTTGCGTGCAGATACATACGGTGAGTTTGCCATTTGATGTCAGCGGTTTACATTTTCTTCACTTTACCTGGAGTGAGGAAAGAGACAATATAGGCCTAATAGCTTGTCTGATTCAGTAGGAATTACGTTACCATGGTGAACAAAGTCAGTGGTGTGGGAAAACACGATGTTGTTGTAGCCTACTAGCATCATTATAATAGTTTTGTCACAGGAGCAGTGATGGGCAGTAGCGCCGCTACATGTAGCGAAGCTATTAGTTTAACTACATTTTCAAGTAGCTTGACCGTAGCGTCGCTGCTTTATTTATCAAGTAACTTTCCTGTAGCGACGTTATTGTTTTGATCAAGTAGCGACGTAGCGTCCACAAACGCTACAAAATCCAGGGCAAAACTAAGAAATGAAACCAGGTTTTCTATTTCTAAACAACAATCAGCCACAAAACTACTGTAAATAGCAGTTTCAGCTGACGCTTTATAAGTGGCGTAGTAGCACAGGCACACTCCGTAGGGTTAAACAAGCGCACCTTTTCCGAGGCTGTCGTTCTATTGGCTGGAAAGGTTGCTAGGCAACGATCCAACTGCAGTCTGAGAGAGCAAAACAAATCCGCAAGCAGAGCGTAACTGAGACCCGTGCAGAGCGGAGATGGAGGCAAGCGAGAGGAAAAAATATCTGTGATAATATAGAAAATATCTGTTTAAATCTGAGAGAAGAAACAAAGATTTTTGAGAGAAGAGAAAATATTTGAGAGAGAGCGCATGTTTTGAGTGTGAGCATTATAAGTTTTGAGTGCAAGAAGATGAAATTATTTTCTCTAATTGAAGTTATGTGCTCTTGCATTATGGCAGGATAATTCTCCCATATCTATGTGCCACCAGTCTGATAGGGCGACACTGTGTGATATGGTAGTGCTTCCTTGGGTTGACTATAGTTCTAAGTTGTACGTTTCATATACTGTTGATTTTGTGTTTTCATTAATACATTGTACTTAAAAATACTTCCTTTATTTGCATTAAAACTTTGTCAGACTGATGTGAAAAAGTCTCAAGGATATCCTTCTTTGCAATGATGCTATTGCCTATTGCCTACTGTCCATTTATGCAACTTGTATTTTGTGGTTAAACTTTAGATTAAGCAGAAATCTATCAAAGATAATGCTGCATTTATTGTTAAGTTCCTCACATATATGTGTTTCTCTCTGTGCCAGGTGTAGAGAAAGACATGCCAAAGTCCAGGTCACACACACACACCAAGCACACACACAGAAACAGGGTTATTGCAAAGCAGACAGGGGTTCCTGACAGGTTGTGGGTGCAGGGGAGATGGGGAAAGATGAATGGCCAGGTTAAGGGTTTATGAAGATGTTGGGAGTCTGTTGGTTAGACAACTGTCTTCTGTAGAAGGTTTCCATTATGATGAGTGGCGAACCACTTGCCTTCTTCCATTTATGCAGTAATGCATGGCACCTACCATTTACTCTTTGTAATTTAGCACATTTTAACTGGTGTAGTTTAGTTGGTGAAGTAGCATTAGTGAGGGAAGTGTTTCCCAGGTATGTTGCTCTTAAAATAATGAATTTATAGACAGCGCCTTAGAAAGTGCACTGAAAAAATTTCGGCGCGCGCTGTGCGCGCAATATCTTACCTAGGGGCTAAGCCACCCATGTCTCTCAAACCTAGTGACGGCCCTGGAGCCGACCCAACCCCGGCATAGAGAACTTTCTCACACTTGAACATTTGGAGGGAAAACATTAGTTCATGAAGGCTGTTCCCTGTTAGGTTTATCTATCTTTCACTGGCCAGATAGATTTCCTAATAACAGCAATCCTCACCTTCGAGCTATAAAGGAGGCTGTGTGACTCATTTTTATCTCTCCTGACCTTCGTTTGGAGCCTGTGAGGCTAAAAACAGACATACCTCAACATTTTTTACTCCAGAGTGTCACCCTGTGATGGCCGGACGTTTTAAATGTTTCCTTTTTGATGTTTTCAGGGTCAGGATGGGCCGGATGGTGAGGGATCAAAAGGACGTCCGGGGAGCAAGGTAGAGCAAACCCAGGATCGGTTTTTCATTTCCAAAAGTCCTCGTTGAAGAGTTTTCTACTCTTCTAGATCAGCTGCTTTCATCCAAAACTTCCACAGTTTTATGACCGACTGGTTTCTCTCCACAGGGAAGTTCTGGTTTTCCTGGTTATCCTGGTCCATTGGTGAGTCTGAGATTCCTGCAGAGAAAATGAAAAAAATCCTGAAGTCCAGGAAAGTCACGGCCTGTTCTGTTTGTTCAGGGTGAGAAGGGTGATAAAGGAGGCAGCGGTTTTCCTGGGAGGACAGGGAACCCGGGTCGATCTGTGAGTGTTTAGGTTCTGGATTATTTTACAGCAACAGCCTGAAACTTTACTGTAAAATCAGCCAGTCTGTTTGGGTTTATAGGGGAACTCAGGAAGACCGGGAGAAGAAGGAGAGGATGGAGATTCTGGATATTCTGGACACAAAGTGAGTTTAGGCCTCTGTCCCTCACTGGCAGCATCAGTCATGTAACATGACTGGTCTGGCAGAAATATCCGCTGGAGATCAGGAGAACCAAAGCTAACAGTTATTGTTCCCCCGTCTGTCTGCAGGGAGGCCGAGGTCCTCCTGGAAAGAGGGAAAAATCTGTAAGTCGTCCTTAAATCCACACTCTGCTAACGTTAGCAGAAGGAACAGGAAGGATAATAATACAAACATGTCTGCTTTGTTTCAGGAGTGCGAACTGATCACCTACATCAGAGAAAACTGTGGTAGGTGAAATCAGAGAATCCAGAACTAGAAAGATTAGACCTGCAGTTAGAATCTAAATCTCCTTTTCTTCTTCCTCCACAGTTTGCTGTCACGGTACGTATGTTTCCGTTTTACCAGCTGGAACCAAACCAGTGAAGTTTGATAGAGCTTGATAATTAAGGGCTTTATATGTGTATTCTACATTCAGCATGACATTAATTCAATTCTATTCAGTTTATTTCTATAGCTCCAATTCACATCATGTCATCTCAGGTCACTTTCCAGTTCACCAGATCATCCAGTCAGATTGATTCAAAGTTTTCTATCTAAGGAAAACCAGCTGATTGCCTCGACTCATTGACTCTTCAGCAATCCCTCACACTAAGCATGCTTGTAGCGACGGTGGAGAGGAAAAACTCCCTTTGAACAGGAAGAAACCTCCAGCAGAACCAGGCTCAGTGTGAGCGGCCATCTGCTGAGGCCGACCGGGGTTCAAGGAGACAGAAGCAGACATAGAAAAAGAAGCATAGATACAAAAGGCAACTGTCAGCCAGCTCCACAGGCGGCCCCGTCCAGGAAACACACAGCCAGGCAGACGAGCTCCGAGCCAGCTCCCATACCAGAGGATGAAGAGAGCACATCCAGTTAGTCCCAGTCAGAGAAACAGGACTACACTGGAAAACAGGCCAAGCTCCAACATCTAGAAACAAAGGTGTTGATGGCAGCAGCACAGCTGATATTTCTCTCCAGGATGGAGTCACAGCCAAACAGGAACAGACCAGATGAAGCTACTATGAGAAACAGCAGAGAGAGCAGAACGTTAGAGATTGAACAGATTCTCCCAGATTCTGCAGAGTGGGAGAATAGAGACAGAATGAAGCAGAATGATGAGAAAGGGGTCCCTATGTCCTCCAGCAGTCTAAGCCTATAGCAGCAGAACTATAGAGATAGCTCAGGATAACCTGAGCCACTCTAACTAGAAGCTTTATCAAAACCATATCAAGTGAAGACTGGTTTAATATGGAGATATGAGTTATCATTTAATAAACTGATCTAAAGTGTAATTAACAATTAATTGACAGTACTACGATGTTCCTTTGACATTCTCAGGTATCAGGAAGTGATGGAGCTCTTGTCTTGAATGGAATGAAATTGTACCCAATTGTGCAGACATTTCAGTTTAACAAGGTTTATTTTGGGTTATATGAAGGCAAATATATTCATTTTTGCCACCATCATCCACCGTTGCTGTCCAAGTTGGCCAATCTGCTTTGACCAGCAATGACTCAAGGGAAATGGATGACAAAGAAGGATACCCCGGATCCTGTACTGCAGCGTGCCTTAAGTGAAACAAATATGTCCCATGGAGAGATTAAGTTGCTTCTAGAGGTAAATATAGTTTTAGTGATGAAAGCTTTACAATCGGAAGGCAACTAAGTTAGAGGAAAGGGATAGCATCGTGTTCCTCTACTTCCCATTGTCATGTTTGGCTTCAGGTGCCTAACCCACATGCAGAACACTCAGGGGCAGGATAAAAGTTCAAAGGTTTATTGAGAAGTTGGAATACAATGAATAAACAGATCCTAAGGGGAACTCGTCTGTTCACGAGTGGACTCTGAAATGCACACAGAGTTAAGAGGTCCAGGACAGGTCACTACTGGGTTCACTGCAGAGGGGGACAGAGGAGTTAGTGGAGGTCCAGGTAATTTGCAGGATGAGTGTATGCAGAGCTGTATCTGTTCTGGGGTTGAGCAGAGCGGCTCAGGGGGGGGAACCTTGAGGGTCCAGAGGCTGCCGGCAGGCTGAGGGCCAGGCGGAGGCAGAGCTTGGTGTGAGTGTAGGCAGATCACAGACTTTGAGTTTCCCTTCCAGTTTCTTCAGAGAGCGGCAGGCAGGTCTTTGACAGGAATTATTCTCCAGGGTTCTTCAGAGATCAGACAGGCTGATTCAGGCAGAGTAACTCTTCAGGGTTTCAGGTTTCAGGCGGGTTCAATCTAGGAAGCAGAGAGCAGAAAACAGATCAGGTTCAGGCTATCACGGAGTCAGAGGTTTAGACAGGCTGGTTGGCTCAGGCTTGCTAACCGTAACCGGCAAACACTCTGGCACTGGAGAGACGTCCTCTGCCTCCGTAAATACTGATCTCCTGATGAGCAGATGAGCGACAGGTGGTGCAATCAGCTCCGGCTCCAGGAGATCTTGTACGCCCTCTGGTGGAGAAAGTGGACAGACCTCCAGATCCCAACACCCATGAGTCAATGCGGGTCAATGTATATTGTTCATCGATGCTGGAAGACGGTGGCAAACACTGTACTTAAAAATCAATATACTTATAAGATCCTTCTTTTAAATGAGAATGTTGCTTTGTTAAACTCAAAAATTTGCTCGGTCAAAATTTCCCTGAATGAAGAGACTGAGATCGAGAATGTCCTAAAATCTACACCCTTCCTTTACCGCATCCGAATGCACCATTACGCCCAGTTGCACATTTAATGACAAATAAATGATTATTTTTAACATGCGTCATTGGTTAAGAACTTTAATAATTTAATAAACTAAACTTTATAAAAACATGTTAAATTTTTGAGGAATTGTGCAGAAACTGGCGCTTTAATAAGCTGCGTCCTTCTGCTGTTCAATCAGTGGAGTCACAGCACTGTGATAAGGAAAGCTCTGTGTTTCCTGCTTAAAGTTTTTTCTCTCCCGTTCTTTTCCTGAGCTGAGATCCCTCTGGACAAACTCTTTAAATAACACTTCATAATGCTGCTGAAGACGCCCTGTTATCCAGGTCATAGTCAGTCCAAAAAAGTTAAAATAACTCCACTGGACTTTGTTTCCAAGACGTTTCTCTTCCATCCAGGAAGTTTTTTCAAATCAAAATGTCAGAAATAGCGTTTAGTTCCAGGTTTTATCCAGCAGCCCAACAAAGCCTGGTTTTAGTTTAGAAAACATGCAAATAGAAACGGATGAACGGGTCCCCCCCTTTGGAATGGGGGTCGTTTGGCTTCTTTGTTAGCCTGCAATGCCCCATACCTGTCTATGTCTCTGAAAGGGGGGTCGTTAGAGGGAATAGTTGGCCTGGCTGAATAGGTGAGGTCTTCTGTTCTCCTGTAAAGGGTTTGGGGCTGCAGGCCGCAGTTCCGCCACATTTACATCATCAGGAGCCGTTCAGATTCAATATGCATCTAATTACCAGATGAAATAGAGCATAAAGCATGAAAATAAAATATATCACACTCATCAGAGATGCTGATTATTTATAAACTAAATCCATCCTTCTGTCTTTGTGCAGGAAGTCTTACTTTCAGCCATTTAAGCCAGAAAAACTTTGAACAAAAATGAATCTAAAATTCCGATTGTCACTAGCTTAACTTAGCTTTAACCATTTTGCTCAGACTGACCAATCAGAGGCCAGAAAATGGTGACATTAGGGGCGGGCCCTCTAGCTGGCCCAGTGGGGAAAATTTTAAATCTGATTGAAAAAAACTGTCTTCGCTACTATTGTTAAGGTAATACCAGCCGCCGCTGCTGATTCCAAAGGCCCTGGGCAGATTTCATTGCCATAGCAACACACAGAGGCTGAAATCTGATTCGACAAAATATGTAGCAACCACATAAATGTAGTGGAAGCAGCGCAGCCAAGAGAAATGCTAAAATGGATGGAGAATGGATTGTTTGGATTATTAATACAGTTGGAAAGAGGAAAATTAAATGTTTAGCTTATGAATGTAGGTTAGTGTTTCTGACTGATTTTAGGCCAGCAGCGAACCGCCCACCGCTGACGGCGTCCTACTTTCCCTCTGATCCACCTGTCTATGGTTGAAAAAGGATACAATGTGGCTAATTTATCATTTTCTTCATCATGATCTCCCTCAGGTCCGATCCAGTGTCCGGCCTACCCCACAGAGCTGGTCTTCGCTTTAGACTTAACGACTGGCTTCGAGTTTAACAGGCAAAGGGAGATCATGCTGTCCATGTTGAGGAACATCACCATCGCTGAGAGCAACTGTCCAGTGGGCGCTCGTGTCTCTGTGGTGGGATACAGCAGATCCACCAAGTACCTGATCCGTTTCCAGAAGCACCGCAGCAAGAAAACTCTTCTAATGGACATAGAGGATCTCCCTGGAGAACGCAACGCAGAACAGCGGCACCTCGGTGCGGCCATGCTGTTCGTGGGCCGAAATGTCTTCAAGCGTGTCCGCTCTGGGCACATGATAAGGAAAGTGGCGGTGTTCTTCTCCGGCGGAGAGTCACAGGACCCTGAGGATATAGTTGCTGCGATGATGGAGTACCAGGCGCTGAACATCATCCCTGCCGTCATCTCTGCCAGGAACAGCCAGCAGATCAGTCAAGCATTGGAGGTGGGTTTGACTTTCTGATGCCTGCTCAGAATACTGGGATGATGAGAGGAGCTGGTCTGAAAGAGAACACAAAGAACTTTGACCTATTTTGCAAGTTCTCCCACTTAGAAATAAAATCCAGAAATCACAAAATATGAGTTTATAACTATTTATTTTTATGATACAGCTGTAAATAAGCATTCCAGCAGCTGTCTATCAGCAAGAGTTCTGACCCTCAAAGACATGTCAGTCTGCCTTCAATATGTTCCACACCACTCCGTTCATTATCCTAAATTCGATGCACTAGTTTGAGGCAGTTATCTGCATAAAGACACCTGTCTACCCCATACAATCAGTTAAAATCCAACCACTAACATGGCCAAGACCAAAGAGCTGTTCAAAGACAATAGATATTAAACTGTACAAGAAAATAACCAAGCAGCTTGGTGAAAAAATGTCCACTGCTGGAGCAATCATTAGAAAGACTCAGACTGGGGCTCCGTGCAAGATCTCACCTGGTGAGATCTCAACGATCCTAAGAAAGGTGAGAAATCAGCCCAGAAGTACCCTGGAGGAGCTGGTCAATGACCTGAGAAAGGCTGGGATCTCCGTTTCCATGGTGACTGTTGGTAATACACAAAGACGTCATGGTTTGAAATCATGCATGGCTAGGAAGGGTCCTCTGCTTTAAACCACGTAGACATTCAGCGCCTTTTTTTTTCTTCAAACCCGATTTTATACAACAGTTTCTCAGTCTAATGGCGGTGGGGAAGAAGCTGTTGCAGAACCTGCTGGGCCTGCATTGAATGCTGTGAAGCCTCTTCGTCACTGATGAAGTTACGGGCTCTGGACACGCAGCATTGGGATGAAATGTCTTTAATGGAGTGATGAGGTCCACCACCGTGGTGTCGTCTAAAAACTTCACCATGTGATTGGTGGTGAACCTGGGAGACGGGAGAAATGTGCTTGCCTGTCAAGGCCCATCTCCAGTTTGCCAGTGACCATCTGGATGATCCAGAGGTGTCATGGGAGAAAGTCATGTGGTCAGATGAGACCAAAATAGAACTTTTTGGTCATAATTCCACTAACCGTGTTTGGAGGAAGAAGAATGATGAGAACCATCCCGAGAACACCATCCATACTGTGAAGCATGGGGGTGGTAGCATCATGCTTTGGGAGTGTTTTTCTGCACTTCGGACAGGGGGATTGAACCGAAGATGGGTGGAGGCTGGGTCTTCCAGCATCACAATGAACCGTAGCACACAACCAGGATAACCAAGGAGTGGTATTAAAAGAATAGTACACCCAAAACATGATTAGCCTTCATTTTCTACTCACCCCCATGCTGAACAACACTCTGGAGTACTTTTTTGATATCTCAAATGCATCTGGAGATCTGGGAGGCTTCTTGCTGTCTGCTGACATTCAAATAATGGAGGTCTATGGCGCCCGAGGCAGAAAGGTCCATAAAAGTCCACAAAAAACGTGTCAATATTCCTCCATACTGCTCGTCCAATGTATTCCAAGTGTCCTGAGTGGGTAGCGTCCATAATTTACTTGAAACGAAGTCATTTAGAATGTTTTTAGAGCATAAACAGTAGTGTATAGGATTTCCTAAAAGCACGTTCACGAGTCTACGGAAACCGCGGCAGACCAAACCAGATGAAAGTGCGCATTCAGCGTCTGCTCTGCCGATAATGCAAGCGTAGAAGAAGAAATGTGCTGTTTACCTGTGCAAAGAAAGAAACAACGAAAGAAAAAATGTCTGAGGACTTCAGTGTTGAGGAAGAGCATGAGTTCTTTGCCGAGCTGAATGCGCACTTTCATCTGGTTTGGTCTGCCGCGGTTTCCGTAGACTCGTGAACGCGCTTCTAGGAAATCCTATACACTACTGTTTATGCTCTAAAAACATTCTAAATGACTTTGTTTCTAGTAAATTCTGGATGCTACCCACTCAGGACACTTGGAATACATTGGACGAGCAGTATGGAGGAATATTGACACGTTTTTTGTGGACTTTTATGGACCTTTCTGCCTCGGGCGCCATAGACCTCCATTATTTGAATGTCAGCAGACAGCAAGAAGCCTCCCAGATCTCCAGATGCATTTGAGATATCAAAAAAGTACTCCAGGGTGTTGTTCAGCATGGGGGTGAGTAGAAAATGAAGGCTAACCATGTTTTGGGTGTACTATTCCTTTAAACTCAGTGTTTCTCAGTGACAGCCCAGAAACCTGACTGATCTAGAGAACATGGCCAAAATCTAGTGGAATCTAGTGGCAGAGGTTTAAACCACTGCTTTATTAGGGATTCAGCTTCAATCATATTTGTCTCTCGGATCGGAATGAGCTGAAGATAACAGCAGCTTCCGTTTCCTCCCTGCAGACTGATGCGTCTGGTAGATCCATCTTCGCTCTGACACGTCCGCAAGACCTGGAGCGGGTCAAGACCTGCACCATCTGTTATGGTAAGTAGCTTCATTCCTGCTCAAGAACTTTATTTTAAAACCGTTTCTCATGTTGAATGTTTTTCTTCAGTCTCTCCATCCTACAACATACTGATTACACACTGTCTCCTTGAACACCATTTATACTCATCAAAGGTTTCTGAAGTGATCCAAATTGGATTTTTTTTTGCCCACATGCAACCTGAATCTGATCTTTTCATGACATTCAGAACAACACAGGTCTGGTTTTTTCCAATGCCGCCAAGTGTCAGAACTCAGAATATAGGACCCAGAATTCAGGCAGACAGAATTGAAGTGATTTCAAAGAAGTGTCTATTAACTCTTCAGGGATCTGAGGCTTGTCAACTTGGACAAGATGACTGGAATCTCTGTAGAGGTAGAAATTCAGGTTAGTGACCAAAAAACTGATGAGGAACGATAGCGAGCATGTGAGCCACAAACCTGGTTTTTAAGTTCAGTGTGAGCCCAGAGGAAGGAGCGGCTCCAGACGGATTATTTCTCCACAGAGAAAGAACTCCAGAGAGTTCCAGGAGTAGAATCAGAGCAGATGGATGAGCAGAAGCCAGGAGATGAGGAAGAGCTGGAGTATCTGGAAGGAAAATCAGAAGGCCGGTGTTGAGGTCCAGGCAGAGGATCAGAGGACTGAAGAGGTACCAAAGGGAAATCCAAGCCGATGTCAAGAGACGGATCAAAGGTCGTGAACAGGCTGAATCCAATGTTAGTCCAAAGACAGGTCAGGCAATATATACAGGTGCTGGTCATAAAATTAGAATATCATGAAAAGGTAGATTGATTTCAGTAATTCCATTTAAAAAGTGAAACTTGTATATTATATTCATACATTACATACAAACTCATATATTTCAGATGTTTATTTTGTTTAATTTTGATGATTACAAATGACAACAAATGAAAATCTCAAATTCATCATATCAGAAAATTAGAATATTACTGAAGACCAATAAAAACAAAGGATTTATAGAAATGTTGGCCAACTGAAAAGTATGAACATGAAAAGTATGAGCATGTACAGCACTCAGTATTTAGTTGGGCCTCCTTTGGCCTGTATTACTGCAGCAATGCGGCGTGGCATGGAGTCGATCAGTCTGTGGCACTGCTCAGGTGTTATGATAGCCCAGGTTGCTCTAATAGTGGCTTTTAGCTCTTCTGAATTGTTGGGTCTGGTGTATTGCATCTTCTTCTTCACAATACCCCATAGATTTTCTATGGGGTTAAGGTCAGGAGAGTTTGCTGGCCAATTAAGAACAGGGATACCATGGTCCTTCAACCAGGTACTGGTAGCTTTGGCACTGTGTGCAGGTGCCAAGTCCTGTTGGAAAATGAAATCTGCATCTCCAAAAAGTTGGTCAGCTGCAGGAAGCATGAAGTGCTCTAAAACTTCCTGGTATGTGGCTGCGTTGACCCTGGACCTCAGAAAACACAATGGACCAACACCAGCAGATGACATGGCACCCCAAACCATCACTGACTGTGGAAACTTTACACTGGACTTCAAGCAACGTGGATGAAGTGCCTCTCTTCTTTTCCTCCAGACTCTGGGACCTTGATTTCCAAAGGAAATGCAAAATTTACTTTCATCAGAGAACATGACTTTGGACCACTCACCAGCAGTCCAGTCCTGTTTCTCTTTAGCCCAGGCAAGACGCTTCTGACGCTGTCTGTGGTTCAAGAGTGGCTTGACACAAGGAATGCGACAGCAGAAACCCATGTCTTTCATACGTCTGTGTGTGGTGGTTCTTGAAGCACTCACTCCAGCTGCAGTCCACTCTTTGTGAATCTCCCCCACATTTTTGAAGGGGTTTTGTTTCACAATCCTCTCCAGGGTGCGGTTATCTCTCTTGCTTGTACACTTTTTTCGACCACATCTTTTCCTTCCCTTCGCCTCTCTATTAATGTGCTTGGACACTGAGCTCTGTGAACAGCCAGCCTCTTTAGCGATGACCTTTTGTGTCTTGCCCTCCTTGTGCAAGGTGTCGATGGTCGTCTTTTGGACAACTGTCAAGTCAGCAGTCTTCCCCATGATTGTGTAGCCTATAGAACTAGACTGAAAGACCATTTAAAGGCTTTTGCAGGTGGTTTGAGTTAATTAGCTGATTAGAGTGTGGCACCAGGGGCCATCAATTTTGAACCTTTTCACAATATTCTAATTTTCTGATATGATGAATTTGAGATTTTCATTTGTTGTCATTTGTAATCATCAAAATTAAACAAAATAAACATCTGAAATATATGAGTTTGTATGTAATGTATGAATATAATATACAAGTTTCACTTTTTAAATGGAATTACTGAAATCAATCTACTTTTTCATGATATTCTAATTTTATGACCAGCACCTGTATGTCTGTAAACAAAGAGCACGCTCTCTTGGGATGTTGTGGCGACCTCTACTGTTGGTGCTGGAGGCTTAAGATGTAAGAATGCAGTTCAGATAGGAGATCACATTCAAGTCGCGTTCATTTGGAAATGTGAAAGACCACGCAAAAAAATTCGTAATTGCGCAAGAAGGCCTGAAGTGTGACAGTAGCTCAACCTTTCTTTGCATCCAACCTTGTAACATGTTGAAGCTTAGGTGCATTTGGTTCCTGTCAATATATTTGGTACCTTTGTTCCTGTTTATTCTGTTAATATAAAATGTTATGGATAAATAAGAACTTCTAATGGCTTATAATAAAAGCGTAATCATTTATCTTTGCTATCTGATCTTCATGTATTTCCTCTGTGTCATCAGATCCTTGCAGACGCTCAGAGGAGTGCTCCTTCATCCAGATCCCGGTGCCGCCTCAGCAGGCCAATATTGACCTGGCTATAGTTGTGGACAGTTCCAGGAACATGCAGGCGGATGAATACGCTGGTGCCAAGCAGCTGCTGGGTTCTGTGGTGGAGCAGCTGGTGGTAAGTCCTCAGCCCCGCAGACCCGGAAACCAGGCTCGCATTGCTGTGGTCCAGCAGAGCGGCACCAAGGAGGCCAGGGTGGAGTTCGACCTGCAGACCTACCAGGGTCAGGCTGGAATGAAGCAACACCTGATGGAGAAAATGCAGCAGCAGAGCGGTGCCTCGATTTTGGGACAAACACTTGACTACACCATAAAGGAGGTGCTGCAGAAGGGTGCCCTGCCACGTAGAAGAAGGGCTCTAATGGCCGTCGTCGCCTCCCGAACAGAGAACAGAGACCGAGACTGGCTGCGGTACATCTCCCTGAAGTCCAAGTGTGAGGGCGTGGCCATGTTTGTGGTGGCAGTCGGTGATCGGTACAACCAGACCCAAGTGAGGGAGATGGCTGGTCTACCTACCCGTCAGCACCTCGTCCGAATCAGCCGGCTTGAGACCCAGGAGCAGGGCTACGTTCAGCGCTTCTTCAGAGTCTTCCTTTCTGTCCTCAGCAGTAAGAGAAACTTCAGCAGGATTTTTCTTCTTAGCATTTAAAATCAGTTACATTCAGTTTTTATTTTGTTCAGCGTATTCAGTTGGTGATGCGGCGCCCTAGCGCCCTCTACTGGTCAGCCGCCACTGTCTGAATTGCTGCGTATTCCGACTGAAATAGACTCGGGCTCTATCTCAGTCGGAGCTACGCTGCCCCCTACAGGAAATCATCCCCATTGACTTTCAATGAGCGCTAAACGCCACGACGTCGTCCGACACGATTTTCTGTCGGATCTAATGCGAAATCGTGTTCTGGCTTTAAAAGTTAAACCAGCTGATTTCATCGATTCATTGACTCCGTTGAATTTAAACGTGTTTCTTTCTTTGTCTGTTTCAGAGAACCTGAACACGTATCCTCCTCCTTCAATAAAAACAGAGTGCAGCCGGCTGAGAGAGCCTGAGGACTTCCTACTGATGTAAGGATATCAACTTCAATAACAATCCAATTTAGGTCCATAGTTTCTTTTTAAAGGTACATTTGTCTATCAGCTTAAAGTTTCAGAAATCAAGTTCACTTCACTAGTGTTGCACCCTGAGCATTTTTTATTGCGATATATAACATTTGTTCACAGGATTATTGATTTTTTTAAGGCGACCATTATTTTTTTGGTCAATTCTGTTGTTTAGATCATCGCATCTAGTTGCTATTGTTTAGGCACATCTGATCAAGGCACTACGTCAATGTTAGTGGCGGGAGTTGCAAGGAAGAAGAAGAAGAAGGCTAGAGTGTGATGGTTTTATCTGCGTGTCCATGCTGATAGACACTCGGAGAGAACAATCAGGAAGAAAGAAAAAACGTACAGAGTGGGTCAAATATAGTTGACAAAAGCGAAGACGGAGTCCGTTCTCTTTCGGGTTGATTGTTTTCTCACCTCGGAGCAAACAGAGTGTTGGATTCAGAAAATGTAGGTTTGCAAATAAATAGAAATTGAGTCTACACAGGAAAGAGAATCAAGCAGCTTCTGCAGGAGCGGAAGGAAAAGCCCAACCCAACTTCAAGCTTTCCTTCTCCGAATCTCCTCCTGCAGCCGTCTTTTATTAACAGAAAATGACGCATGGTTACAGAGTATTGTTCTGACAGAACAACTGATCAGTTAGTGAAGACAGAATGCTCCATCAGAATGACGAGGCAGGATGGTCTCCTGACTGGATCATGAGACAGGAGTGGAGCATCCCCTTGCACAAATGTTTCATAAGCACACATTAATTTTATAATCATCATTGAATAAACCTAACACAGAGACCAGAACAAGAGTGACGCCATTGCTTCTCTATTACCCACTCTGATAGCCTTGAATGCTAATAGCAGCCCCCTTCCTGTCTTTGCCTAGGGCCCCAAATTTCCTAAATCTTCTATAAATGCTTCAGTGCAGCGTGTTATGGAAGACCATTTGGTCCAATAATTTATGATTTGTAACACATAGAAAACATGTCAATGACACATATTTTGCACGTTGTTAATGTGTTGTTTTAGCCCTTTATTCTGTCACACTTAGTTAAAGCGTTAAAAACGCGTCTACGTGTCAAGTACGCGTTGATTTTGTCATGTTGGGGTCTAAGCGTCTAACCCACATGCAGAAACACTCAGCAGACAGGGAAAAAGTTAAATGGTTTATTTACAATGTTTTCAGATAAATGTGAACAGGGTCTTGGCTCGGCAGAATGATCACGGGAGGGAAGCAACTAGAGGAGGACAGATCGGTTAGAGTGGAACCAGGAAACTTGCAGTTTAATGGCGGCTTGGATTAATACCTGCTCAGAGGGTATTCTGATCAGCAGGGGGGGAACCTTGTGGGTCCAGAGGCTGGTCGGCAGGCTGAGGGCAGAGGCAGAGACGGAGGCTGAGGGCAGACAGGCAGGTTCCAGGCAGCGATTGTTTTCTCCAGGATTAGACTGATATCCAGATAAGTCAGGATCTGAGAGGCAGAAGAACACAGGGTCAGACTAGTTCACAAAAATCTGAGAAACAGATAAGAGAAGCTGGCTCAGGTTTGCTGGTTCCATTACTGGCAAACACTCTGGCAGGGAAGTGTCAGCCTCCTCCTCCTTAAGAAAGCCTCCAGATGAGCAGATGGAAAACAGGTGTGCAGAAGTCAGCTCACGCCCTCAGGAGGAAGATCTCAGGTGCCCTCTGGTGGAGAAAGTTAGACAAGCCTCCAGATCCCAACAGATTTCATCTGAATATCAGCCCATCAGCCATTTGTTCAATTTGAGCTGGTGCTTGTCGCTTATTTCCAATTGGCTCCTGAGTAGTAGAGTATGGCAGGCTGTTTTGACATTTATTAGCTTGACTGAATATGTAATCCAGATGTCTCAAATGCTTTTCTTCCTACTCAAAATGAACTTGTCAGATATCTGAAATGTTATTTTTACTAGTAAACATGAAATCACGTTTCTCATTCATGTTTATTGGGCTTTTACTTCCAGATATCTAAAATAACATTATTCTTATTTAAAATAAACATTCTTCCTATGTAAATTCTGACCAGAATGAGCTCAAATTTAAGATCGCTATAAAAGAATTACTGCTAGTCATAATGAAATGAATTAATATAGCATTACAGATATCCAGAAAAATATATTTCTGCTAGTAGTCATGTCTTTACAGAAATCTACTACTTATTGTATTGTATACTGTGAATACTTCCTGCTTCTTGATCCAATCGAGCGAGGATTTTCAGCACGTTTGGTATTTTACGTTGGTAAAATTGCTGCAACCTGTAAACATGGAAGCCAGAGGGAAAAGTGGACCAAAAACAGTCTAAATAAAAACAGTCAGGAAGTCTCCAAACCCTTTAGATTCTGTAGGGTTTCTGTAGATCTGCCTTTTTCACTGCAGTTCGCTAGCGTTCTCCTTCAGTGCTGTTTCTGTGTGCTGCAGGGAGGACTTTTCATCTGGACAGGAGCTGCTTGCTGATGATGCTCAGGCAGGACCTCCGATTCCATACCAAGGTACAGAGCACGCTCAGGAACACCTTTAACTGAAACCATTTATTCCCCAGATGATAAAGCATTGCCTGTGAAAAAGTTTCATAGTTTTCTTTCTCCTCATGATTCAGTCCTCTGGCCCGCTGTGGTAGGTGGGGGGGTCTTTATGACTCTTATTTGAAGGCCTTTTGTTTTTATTGATCTCACGTCGGATAAATTCACACTCTGTATTTAACCCCTCCCCTTGGGGATGCAGTGTGGGGTTAAGGGTCTGGCTCAGGGACCCAGAGTGCAGGCTGTGGGGATGGAACTGGTTGCTGTCTGGGGGTGAGCATCGGCACGGGTGTCACGATATGTGTCACAATACTTGGGTCAAAATACCATATTATCACAATATTGCAATATTTTCCCGAGCTATAAAAATTAAATGTAAAGATAAAAAAATAAGTGCTGTATGTTCATCAGAAGATATGAATCATTCAGTTAATTTGGTAGCCATGTTGTTTGGGGTTTGACTCAGTGCATGTCAGTCAATTCACAAGAACACGAGTATGGACATTAGCAGACGGGCTTATGTTAGCCCCTTATGCCGGGGCCCCTTCTGCAGCAGACGGACTAACATTGGCCCCGACTGCTGCAGACGGACTAACATTGGCCCCGACTGCTGCAGACGGACTAACATTGGCCCCGACTGCTGCAGACGGACTAACATTGGCCCCGACTGCTGCAGACGGACTAACATTGGCCCCGACTGCTGCAGACGGACTAACATTGGCCCCGACTGCTGCAGACGGACTAACATTGGCCCCGACTGCTGCAGACGGACTAACATTGGCCCCGACTGCTGCAGACGGACTAACATTGGCCCCGACTGCTGCAGACGGACTAACATTGGCCCCGACTGCTGCAGACGGACTAACATTGGCCCCGACTGCTGCAGACGGACTAACATTGGCCCCGACTGCTGCAGACGGACTAACATTGGCCCCGACTGCTGCAGACGGACTAACATTGGCCCCGACTGCTGCAGACGGACTAACATTGGCCCCGACTGCTGCAGACGGACTAACATTGGCCCCGACTGCTGCAGACGGACTAACATTGGCCCCGACTGCTGCAGACGGACTAACATTGGCCCCGACTGCTGCAGACGGACTAACATTGGCCCCGACTGCTGCAGACGGGCTAACATTGGCCCCGACTGCTGCAGACGGACTAACATTGGCCCCGACTGCTGCAGACGGACTAACATTGGCCCCGACTGCTGCAGACGGACTAACATTGGCCCCGACTGCTGCAGACGGACTAACATTGGCCCCGACTGCTGCAGACGGACTAACATTGGCCCCGACTGCTGCAGACGGACTAACATTGGCCCCGACTGCTGCAGACGGACTAACATTGGCCCCGACTGCTGCAGACGGACTAACATTGGCCCCGACTGCTGCAAACGGACTAACATTGGCCCCGACTGCTGCAAACGGACTAACATTGGCCCCGACTGCTGCAGACGGACTAACATTGGCCCCGACTGCTGCAGACGGACTAACATTGGCCCCGACTGCTGCAGACGGACTAACATTGGCCCCGACTGCTGCAGACGGGCTAACATTGGCCCCGACTGCTGCAGACGGACTAACATTGGCCCCGACTGCTGCAGACGGGCTAACCTTAGGCCCAACTGCTGCAGACGGACTAACCTTAGGCCCAACTGCTGCAGACGGACTAACCTTAGCCCCGACTGCTGCAGCCCTATTAATAACAGGAGTTGAAATGCAGCTCCAGACTAGTTGAGCGTGTGGTGATGTTACAACTAATCTTCTGTTCCAATTGACCCAGATTTATTCTGCGTGCTCCCGTTCTCCCAGAGTTCAGACTTTCCTGTGTTCTTCTCTAGAACAGACTCGGTGAGAACATGGGGTCCATACTCACATTCTCGTGAATTGAGAAATGGCAAACGATACCTGAGTTGCAACGATGAGGTAAACTTTGACCTTTCAACATGGTGGAAAGCAGAGAAACGATTCTTTGGCTGTCTCCAAATGTCCGCCCTAAAACCTTAAACCCCTCCATCACAATATAGAGCAGGGACTTTATAGGGAACTTAGTTAACTGACCGTTCAGACAGATGATCACTATTTTCCGCTCCCTCTTGGTCACATAACCCCGCCTCCCCGCATGGCATCTACGCCATCTTTGTATGCGTCGCCGCTGTTGTCACAACAAATCCCATAATGCTTTGCAAAGACAGACCTCCTCGCAAAGCATTCCGGGATAAATCTGCTCATCTAGTGACCATTGTCACTACCCGATCCGTCCCGGAAGCACAATCCATCCTGCACATGTGCAAACACAATAATAAAACTAGGTAATACCGGTACGGAAAATACTTATTTATATACTTAAAACATTAAAGAACGTTAAACTACATTCTATAGAAAATATTGAAGACGTTTTACATTCTCTCCAATCTTTTGCGTGACATCATCATCGGACATGCTCAGAGCAGTCAGAGTAACGTTCCAAAGGATGTTTAAGTGTTTTGCTTTTTTTCGTGTTTAGAATGTGCAATATTTATGCAAATACAAAAATATTTAAAAGGAAACCCCCCGCCGGAAAAAGAAAAAGGAATAAAAAGTAAGAAAAACGAAGTAATGCGTAACTGGAAGTTATTCTGTTCGCGCATGCGCAGGATTGATCGGTTAGCGACACCCATGGATAACCACTACTTTTCAAGGTGCATTGTGGGAAATTTTGAGTCCACTATTAGACGTTTGGACGTTTGGACCTTGCCGATCAGAGCCGAGGCGATTTTAACGTGGGTCTCTTGCCGAGTCGTTTGACCTGGGACAGTGAGCCATTCCCACTGCCACTAAAAGCCCTTTGTTCCTGGGTTTAAAGGTTGTTGTTTTTTTCCCACTGTGTGCTGTCAGGCTTATACCCCGTTCTCAGAGCTGACTGATGTCCCCACCCGGATCCCTCTGATGCATTTCCCTCTATGTCCCCCCCAGATGTCTGTCTCCAGAACAAGAAAAGCGGCAGCTGCAAGACCTTCACCTTCATGTGGTTCTATGACAGCAAGAACGCTCGATGCACCCGCTTCCTCTACAGCGGCTGTGGAGGCAACCAGAACCGCTTCAAGACCAGGGAGGAGTGTGAGGACACGTGTCTCAGGAAGACGTTAGCTGGAGACGTTTAATGCTGTTTGAGAAGCCAAGTATTATTGAGTCCACAGAGCTGGACCACAACCACAGAATCCCAGATTTCAGCAGGACTTTCTCTACTTTTACTGCAGCTACAAAAATGTCCTGTATTTCCAAGGAAGTTGTTGATTTTTCTTATGCTAACTACCCCAATGTTTGATCTCTCATCATCCAAACCAACATTAGTTTCCATAAAATGATTTCAGCAAAATATTTTCTTATGAATTGTTGAGATGGGATGAACAGAGCCTTTGTGTCGATGTGCAAGATTCAGATTATGTTGATCAGAATTCAGTTTTAAATGATTTTGTCCAAATGACTGCATGAATTTGTTTCTACTGTATCTGGAGCAAAGAGGCGCCTAAAGCCGGGCCTAAACTGGGGGATTTTGTCAATCATTGCACGCAGCTACAGCTCACACTGTACGACGAAACGGCCGGGTTTAAAAGTTCACAGCTGAGGATGTTTGTTCTCTGTGCGACTCGACGCTCTGATACGATCTACCTGCTCACACAAAAACCATACGCTTGACTAGGCGCTGAGAGATGGCGCCGGTTGGACTGCTGCACATGTACAGTGGTGATATTCTTGGAAATCAGCTCGTAGCTCTGCTTCAACACTAGGATTTGATCACCAACATCTCACGAGGACCCACTGAAATTCAAACATTTTCTCCCGACCTGATGGGGAGGTGGTCGTTAGAGGCTGATCGCCCCTCGTTACCCCCTGGTCACCACATCACGCACAATAAGGCTGAAAGTCGGCCCCATCGAAAGATTCTCGCACGACTGGAAAATCGACCTGAAAAGGGAAAAGAATCATACAGCGTACGCACGGCTAAAAAGAATTCACCCTTACTGATCTTTCCCACATCGGGTCTAATGTGACACTTCATCCAACAGACCAGCGACCAGCAGTTCACAGTTTAAGCCAAAAAACAAGAATTTGTTGTTCCCTTTTTTATCAATAAAATCTAAGAAATGTGAAATGTTTTTATTTTTGTCTTGATCCATTTTAACATCCTTGAATAAAATTGTGTTTTAACCAAAGTTTTTTAGACTCAGCTGGAGAAGAAACCACTGCATTGTTGGAGGCATCCAGGAAAGGAGCGGCCCCCATGTTACTGAGCCCACTGGATTATTACCGATAAAACATGTAGTCTAGAAGAGACCTGATTTCTTTTAAGTCTTGTTATACGGTGCATTTTTCTGAAATATTTCCAATGCTAAGAAAGAAAGGTGTCAAGTTCAAGGGGGAATTTACCATTAAGCAATACCAGGCAGTTTCCTAGGGCCCCAAGTTCCTGGGGGGGGGGGGGGGGGGGGTTTAAACAGACGGAAATATTCCTTATATGTGCACAGTAATTATGTATTTGATAAAAATCATTTGGCTAAAATGAGAAATTAAACTTTTAAAATTAAATCTTAATCAGAAAAATATTTTGAGAGTAAATTCGCCTTTTCAAACTTTCTTTTTTCAATTTATTCTTTTTCACATTGAGTTTTATGAATTGCTTTCTTTTTAAGTAAATGTTTGCAGAAACATTTCTACCGGTCTACATGGATGTTACCCTGGAAAAAGTATAACCTTGCTCGAAAAAAAAAAAAAAAAAAAATGATGTCCAGATATCACATCTAAAATATTTGATTTCACAGAATCTGAATTTTACGGAAGAGGATTAGGGCCACTGAAAAGAAAAAAAAGTTAACTGATTTTTAAATTTTGTTTAAGTTTAAAATGGGAAAAAAGTCCGAATTCGGACTTTTTTCTCAGAATTCTGAGATTAAAGTCAGAATTCTGAGATTGGCCCTAATCCTCTTCCGTAGAATTTAATCACTTTTTATGACCTGATTATTTTATGTTGATGTGAAAAATATTTCTGCATTTGACCAAACTTTAAATTTTTATTCCAAAAATATTTTCTGAACATTTCAGTTGATGAACCAAACTAATTTACTTACTTTTATCTAAATTACCATGAATTAATGTTTGTATAGACACCAGTTGATTCATTTAAATATAACCAAATTATCATTTTCATATTTCATTTGACTTTACTACCCATCTTATAAATTCTATAAAAATAAAAAATACCTGGCCAAAGGATTACTTTAAATGTATTTATTAATTGCTAATATAGACTTAAATAGTGTAAATCCAGGTGGTGTAACTTGGCGTTAACGAACCTCGGTAAGCGGTAGCAGTTAGCATCCGTCGCTATCACGCTCGCCACTACAGCTCTACTGCTCTTTCTAACATGGAGGCTCCGGCTGCCAGTGACAGCGGGTTTCCAGCATTTAACTCTAAACTCCACACTGAACCTTCAAGCAAAGATTGTTTAGCTCTGGATGGAGCGCGGTTGAACGAGCGAAGGCTTTTAGCTAGCTAACGTTATCGGTAAATGAATAAACCTTCTCAGATGTCAGCTAGCTAATATTAACTAGTTAACTAGCCAAATATAACATTGATTATATGCAACTGCTTTGCTACTTATTTATTTATGGGCGAAATCCACGCAGGATGTAGAGACGATGAAAATGGCGCTCTCTCTATCACGGTCTGAGACTTGATCATGTGCGCTGACTGCAGCGTGCAAAGCGCGACTCACATGTGACTCAAACTAAAAATTACCTGCAAGCCATAAATAGATATTTATAAGGAGGAGGATTAGGTTAACTGATATTTAAATTTTTTGGACTTTAGTTTAATAGGACAAAACAATTTGACTTGCAGACTTCTGATTGCACTTTTAATGGAGTAAAAAGCTGAAGTTGATCCTCTAACTTCTGAAAAAAAAATTTAAACAGCAGGATTTAAACTTCTACTGGAGTAATAAACATTACTACTTTTGACACCTCTGTTCATTTATGTTATAGAGAGAAATTCACTGCAAAAAATGGAACTCTAAATGAGTCATTTTTGCTTAAATTAAGTGCAATTTTTTCTTGAATTGAGGTAATTGAGATACTTTGCCAATGGAACGAGACAATTTACATTTAAAATAAGAAAAAAAAGCTTTGTCTTCTTTCAAGTGCATATTATCTAATTATCTTGTTTTAGAGTAACAATACTAATTCAATTGGCAAATCATCTTATTTATCTACTCAAATTAAGGGCAAATACACTCAATTTAAGATTTTTTTTACTTAATTCTAGATGGCTTTTCAGTGTTGCTACTTTGATGCTCATTAAACTATAAGATTGTTGATTGCTTAGAGCTCAATCCAATCAATCCATGATGATGAATTAACCACTTTGCCTTTTCAATTCAACTAAAACTTTATTTATAAAGCACATTTAAAACAACCGGGGTTGCCCAAAGTCCTGTACAGATATCACAGTTGCAGGAAATAAGGTAAAAACGTAAAAGCTAAAATACATAAACACAATGCAATAAAATAGAGTAAAATAAGTTCAAATTTAAATAAAAATCTAAATACATTTTTTCCCAACATCTCATGACCTCATAAAAAAGAAAGCAACGAACTACTGATTAATAATTAAGACAACATTTCTATATTATGAAAAAGATTTGTTCAAAATGTAAAATACCGCCCTCATGTGGCGGTAACTAGTCACTACACCAGAGGGGTAAAACGGCGACTGAATAAAGAAACTCCTTAAAAATTAAAATAATAATAATAATGATAATAAAAGGAACCAAACTGGAAATTCTAGCAAAGCACCGTTATTTTTTTTTATCGGTTTAGTCAAAAGAACAGATGATACTTCGATACCAGGGCGTAAATAGAAACTACAACAACGCGCGACAGTTGGCGTCAGTTTTCGTCATCTTACGGTAGCGTCAACTGTTTTCGGGGACGTAAACATGCGTTTGGTCCAGTAGAAGCATCAGAGGTAATAATGTGGAGTTTTTTCATAGTTTTGCAGTAACTGAAGAAGTTATCACGTCTTTCATGTTTGTTTTTATTTATTCTCTAAAGTGAAGCGGTGTCTTTGATCAGTGATTGAGGCCAGAATCCAACCGAACTCCACTGGTCGGAACCAGAACCGGAACCAGAACTGGTGGAGCCACTGGTTGGTTTCAGTATTAGAAAAATTCATTTTTAAAACATCAGATCTGCATCAGTTTCTAAATGTATAATTTAAACAGATTATATCGACCCTGGATTCTGCTGAGAGGATCAAGCTTCTGCCTGAAGTTCAAAGAAATTTAAGAAAACTTCAAAACATAGAAATGCATTTGTTCTTAAATTGAATTTAGGAAAGGTAGACACTTTGAAAAAAATATATAATTTATTTTAAGAGTAAAACTCTTCCTCCTATTGGCAGATCGTCTTATTTACCTGCTTAGATTAAAAGTAAATAGACTTAATAAAATTAATAAAACACTAAAGTCAATCAATCATCTAATGTAAGAAACTTTGACTTATTTCTAGATGGTTTTTGCAGTGCAGAGGAAGCTGTTTCTGATTAGTTTGGAGCCATTTTAGTGTGTAAATAAGGTGCTGAAGGTGCAGTGAACAGAAGCAGACACACCTGGACTCCACCCACCCTCAGCACCATCACCTGTCTGCAGCGTAAAGCCTGGTTTATGCTCAGAAAGCAGCTCGTCTGCGTGTGTTTTCACCTCCATCCACCAAATCAGACCAACATGAGTTCTTATTGCACGTCCTAAAGGGAAATGTCGTATTTGGAAGGTTGAAGATTATCTCTGTTTCTATGATGTTTGTATAGATCTTTCTGATGATGCATGTTTATTATTTACATTTTAACATTAATGGTTTAATAACCTGAATCCATAGATCTATATAAAACCTGCTTTTGACCAGAATCGGGTCAGAAAAACTGACGGTAACGTCTGTGTCTGTGGATCCGTTGCAGATGGAGAATTACAGCAGAGCTCAGGTGGTGGAGCAGCTGTCCGTCTGTCCCTTCACCAACCTGTCCGCCGACACCCCCGAGGTCCGGGTCAAAGACGGCAGCAAGATCCGGAACCTGCTGCGCTTCGCCCTGAGCCGCATGGAGGCCAACGCCAGGAGAGCCGAGGAAGAGGAGGAGGAAGGAAGCCGGGGAGGTCCGGAGGAGGCGGCGGGCCGGCCGCTCTGCAGACAGATCGTCTTCAGCGCCAGCGGGAAGGCCGTCTCCAAAGCCATCACCTGTGCTGAGATCATGAAGCGGCGCCTGAAAAACCTCCACCAGCTCACGAAGCTCACCTACAGCAAAGTTCTGGAGGTCTGGGAGCCTCTGGAGGCCGCCGCCGGCCTCGACAGCCTCACCGTCAACCGGAACCTCCCCGCCATCTGGATCCTCCTCTCCAAGGAGCCGCTGGACTCCGCCCAGCCCGGGTACCAGGCGCCCGGCCGCTACGACGCCCTGTGGGCTCAGGCTGTGGGCAAGGAGGAGGGCGGGGGGGCAACGGGGCAGCGAGCGGGTCAGAGGAGGAAGAGAGGAGGAGGTGGAGGCAGAGGGAAGGGATCGGGGCGTCCCGTCGGCCGCTCCAGGGAGCCTGGAAAAGGACAAACGTAGACGATCCTGGAGCAACAGGACATGAAATGACTCCTTCAGATGTTTGATTCCACTTCCTGTTTAGTTGAACTTTTTCTCAGCAGAATGAAAACAAATAAAACCAGTTTAGTTTACTTCATCTTCCTGGTTCTTTATGGAAAAAGTTTTTACACCCATTTCTCCAAGTTCTCCTTGTTTCTGGTACAACTTTTCCTTCCACTCCAAAAAAGTTCAAAATCCTCTGGACTTTGTTTCCCAGTTTAAAGACGTTTCTCTTCCATCCAGGAAGATTTTTCAATTCAAAATGTCAGAAATAGCTTTTAGTTCCAGGTTTTATCCAGCAGCCCAACAAAGCCTGGTTTTAGTTTAGAAAACATGCAAATAGAAACGGATGAACGGGTCCCCCCCTTTGGAATGGGGGTCGTTTGGCTTCTTTGTTAGCCTGCAATGCTCCATACCTGTCTATGTCTCTGAAAGGGGGGTCGTTAGAGGGAATAGTTGGCCTGGATGAACAGGTGA